TATATATATATATATATATATATATATATATATATATATATATTTCGGAATATATACCTCTTTCTCCAAAGATGCTATCTGCTCTGACAGTCTGAGATTTTCTCGTCTGCAATGCACCAAGTCAGCGTCCGCCCGTTCCAGACGTTGCTTGTACGAATTTATCTCAGTCTGCAATCTACTCTGCTCCTGTCGAGCTTGCCGTTCGCTCCGCTCGGCTGATAATTTGCCAGTTAAAACTTCCTGTTCCGCTGCGTCTTTCTCGCTCAAGGCTTGATTAAGATCGCTCTGTAGAGTAGCTAAACAAAACAGATAATTAAATCATGTCTGAATTATCACATCGTAACGTAATATAACTTACATATCTTGTTCTGCAATTCTTTCTTCAGGTTATCGGTGGACGTTTGCTTCTGAGATAACTCCCTTCTGAGTTCATTTATCTCTCTTCGCTGCTTCTCGGACTCCAATTGCGACTTGTTAGCAATTTCCCAATGGGAAGCGATGTCCGCGGAGAGCTGCTCGACCTGCTGATTATACCGACGTTCCAGCTGTTGCCTTTCATCGCTTATACGTCTATTCGCTTCTTGAGCAGCATCACGCAGCTTCTCGTGTTGCCTCTCCAGCTCATCCTTCAATCTCCGTATTTCCATCTCGCTCTGATTCCTCTCAAACTCGATCTGTTGTCTGTCGTCCATGGATCGCTTCGCTTTATGGGTCGCCTCAGTTTCCTTGTCTCTCGCGGCCGACAACAGTTTCTGCGATTCCTCCAACTTCATTTCAGCCTCGTACTTGGCGCGCAGAGCCTTGTCCAATTCGGCTCGGAGCTCGGGATTGCCTTCGTTCGAGCAACCGTCTGACAGACGTTTCATGTTCGCTTGATTCTCCTCCTGTGCCTTTCGCAACTCCAGCTTCGTCTGTGTCAACTGCGCCTCCAACTCGCTGATTCTCGACTCGAACACTATGCTGGGTCCTACCAGAGGCTTCTCTCTTTTGACTTCCAAGTCACCAGCAGCGTTATCGACCCGTTCGCGACTCTCGCGATCTGCTTCGACACAGTCTTTGTGATCTTGTAGAGTGCATTTCGACAGCGCATCTCGATTCTTACTATGCAGCGCCTCGTTCTCGGCTACAACCTATACGAAAGATCGTTTTATTTGATTATTTCAATACGATAAAGATAAATATCATGTAGTTTTCCACTCGAATTCACACAAATTCATGGGAAACAATAAATTCTGTAAACGCATGACTGCACCTCTCGAACTTTACTCAGCAGATTGATCAGCTCGTCGCGACAGTATTGGGACTCTCGTTCCAACTGCTCGATGTAGTCCTCTTGTCGCTCGATAAAGGACGTCAACTCCGGCGGAATGGATTGCAGATCAGCCCTTGAAAGCGCTATGTTACTGTACGCTTTCGTCGGTTGAATAGTTTTCGACAGCGGAGGGAATGTATTGGTGACCGCGTTCCCGGCGAGATCCTTTCTGCGAAAACTGCCGCTGATTATGCTCTGATCATCCGTGTCTTCTCCAGATTCGCTAATGCGTAGATTACTGCTCTTATATATGCTTCTGATGCTCTGTGGCTTTCTGTACGAGAATTATTCACATTTTTACCGCAATCATTCCAATGCAACATTTTCTTTAGATTTCATTTTGTAAATTTACACGTTTATGTGTGAATTTGATTAATCTATTAGCGTTTGCAAGTTTTCTTTTTATCGTAATCATTCCGTGAACTCACGTTCCGGACATTGCTGTTGGCGCGTAGGACTCAGCCAACAGGTACTTCAACTTCGATATAGCTTCTCTGTATGCCAACTCCGTGTAGTCCGCCGGCTTCCTCTTGTTCAGGTCCATCCTCGAAGCGCCATTTGCTTTTCTGCAAAATAATCGTCCTTCTCGCTCAATCCTGGCAAAGTACAAGTGTTGAAACTCCGAGAAGTTAATAAATTAAAAATGAAAATGCTAACGTGGTAGCTTCACCTATTTTTCAATCGCTTCATCCGCGCGACGCACGCCGGATCCACGCAGTTGTTTACGCCGGACAACGTTTTTAACTTCGGGGTGGTCCTCGGCAGGAATTTCGGCCGCGTCGTAGACGCCAGATTGCCGATGGTCGCGATGCTCGTCGGACTGCCGGCGAAGGGATGATTACGGCAACCGTAGGCGCTGTTCGTCGTCAGCATTCTGGGGCTTCTCGCGCCGTCCACCCTCTACCACCGACTCCTCGCATAAGAAGCCACGAACGAACCACGGCCGGCCGGCCGGCCAGCCAATCGATGACACGGCAACTACGTTTCGCTGGTCGGGAGAAGTCGGCGAAGAAAATCGAACGGCGCTTTTAATGGAACATGCAACCGGAGGAGCCTGGCGGTGGATCGCGTGCAATGGTACCATCCGACCTTCGCAGGAGGGGACAGGCACCGTACCACCGCCGTACCACCACCGATGGGATATGTTCCGTGACTTATTATTAGCAAGTGAGGCATACCTTCGGTAGCCACGGCGAAAACGACGGGGCGAGGGTGGGCGAATGCCGGCGCTATCACCTCCTGATACTTTTTAAATCCCGCCGTAGAATTCCTATGGAAACAGAATGATCAAACGGTGCGCAACGACAACGGGGACAACAACGACGGCGATGACGACGAAGAGAATGTCTGTGGGAAACAAAGTTTCCGTTTAGGAGAGAAACGACACTCGTTGAAGACGGTAATTGATTAATTAATGACTTGGGATTACCTTTACACGTTTTCACGTTCGCGTGACGAGATACAATGTATACGTATGAGATTTAATAAGCAAATAAGAAGATACGCTTACCTTACGAACGCGACGTGTACACATTAAGAATATCGCGTGAGACTTCGAGTATATCGCTTTTTATTTTTCGTACTGTAATTTTAAGATGTATCACACAATCACATGTGTGAGGTATATAAAAGAATTGTCTACACTTTGCGTTAAAGTATGCTGATAAAATAAATGTATAAATTGTAGCGCATTTTACATTAATATCAACATTAATATCAACATTAATATCAACATTCATATCAACAATAATATCAACAATAGAGATCTCTAAAGTATAAAAAAGATAGTACCTTGTTAATACATATAGCAACGTATGTTGCTTATTCTGTTCTTATTAAATATCGATGTCTTTATCGGTCCGCATTTTGTGCTAAAATTTTCATAAATTATATATTAAATATGTATTATGTAACGTGTGCGTGTCCCGGGTAGGATACTTCAGCGCCCTCGTTCGCCAAGTTCTCTATAGACTGCTGCCGATCCTCGTTCTCGCTGCGATGTAACGTATTGTAAGCTGAAATGATTTTCAAATGACGATATTTGGATCTATTATTTTATACGTAGCGGGGGTCCTATACATATCCGTTATGAAAAAATGAATTTAACGTACCTACATCACGAGAAAACGATTTCATATATAGGATCATCAACAAACCGAATATCGCGGATCCACCGCAAACGTACGTGAGAATATCTCTGTAATAATTACTGCAACTGGTCGAGCATCGTCTGAAAAGTAATCGCAGTCAGAAAATCAATTTTATCGAGAGAATTCACATCTCAAATCGATTAACTAACTTTACTAGATACTGAATGAGCATAACCGCAAAGCCGTTGCTCAGTTTATCCATAAAGCTCATAACTCCGTACACGAAAGCACCACTCTCAGTATTTTGTCCTATTAGGTCCGCGCAGACACCGAGACTCGTCACTAGCATGATCGAACCTGCGGAACCTAAAGATTATCGCGACAAGTTAGAAAATGATCGCGGTCTCTCGAGTATGTGAGATAGCGCCGATACGTAATCGCAAATTTCACGTAAAATAAACAATTATATCGATAAGAATATTGTGTTTACCTAACATCACAGCCACAGGATATATCTCATATTTTATGTACATGTCGCCGTTGCCGAATTGTATCCATACGCTAGCACATATCGCGATCAAAGCACCGATAGAATACGCAACTTTTCGGCCTAATTTCGTATTGAGCCTCTCTATAATTAAGGATATCAGGAAGCTACTCAGAAACATCGCCAACGGTATGTAAGCCAGAGAAGCCGCAGGCATATTTAGCGACACGTGTAAGTACATAGGAATATAAACTTGGCATAAATTGATGTACAGTCGTGTGGGCATGTAGACGCAAGCTACTTGATACAATTTGCTATCTCTCAATAATACTGAAGCTGTTCTGGTGTTTCTACGAAGTACATCTAGAAAGGAAAATATAATCCAATATATTACTACAAACTTTCTACACTTGCTATATATATATATATTGTAACTAAAGTCAAAAACGTTTATATAGTTGCGTTGTATTACCATTAGAATCGCCATTACCATTAGCTCCTTCTTTAAGAAAAACGTGAAATATAAGGGATGTTACGAGCCCAATTCCTAATCCAATAAGAACAACTTTTTGAAATTTGTAAACATCACCAGGTCCAATTTGAGCATCTGTCTGATCACTTGTTATGTGCAGCACACCCCACATGATACAGTAAACAAGTACATTGGAGAAGACAGTAAATGTATATCTATTTGAGATCATAACAAGAAGAAGTTTTATTCAATTTGAATATGCATGCATTCTTTGACCAATAAAGTAAATATGTATTATCTTTTTCCTATGAATGAATATTCTACCAATTACCTTATAGCTATAAGTTGAGTCCTTTCGTGGTCAGTGGGAGTAAGCTCTGGAACTAAGGACAAGTGGGATATTTGTACCGCTGCCCAGCCAAATTGAAAAATTACTACAAAAGCTGCATAGTAAACCAACTGTGCCCATTGATGTGCATTTTCACAGCCAACACAAGGCGAGAATATAAATGGGAAGGCTAGTATTACGCAAACAGTGCCTGCAAAGGAAAGTTGTCGCTGTATCTTGAAACAGACTAACAACTAAGTTATATGTACATATACACGATACCTAGTAAGTGCCAGGTTTTCCTCCTGCCATATTTGCACAGCCAGAAGTTATCATTTCTGTCGGAATGTAAACCGACGAAGGGAGTAACCATGGCATCCGCAATCTGACCGATAAGCAGCACAACGCCGCACAGAGTTGGGTCAAATCCGAGCACAAGGTGAAAAAATACCAGCAGATACGTGAACCACATAGAAGCACAGATGTCATTCAACACATGGCCAGTGCCGTAAGCTAACCTCAGGGAGAGAGGAAGCCTCCGAATTATCTCCGTATAATCGTTTTCCATTCTTCTCGCTTCGGGTTCCAATTTCGCGAGAGATCGAGCATGAATAGGGTGACTTCTTTCGACCTGTTGACCACGCGTTGTTCAACGACGATTACGAACGATAATTAATATATTCCGCTGGAATTTACTTTGCGAGTCAATGTACATACAGCCGGGTCATTTCGTGGAACGTTTCGAGATAAAGACCGCGATACGACGCATTGTCATAATGTTTACTTCCCAAGAAACAAGGCGACGAGCCTTTGTTTATCACCGATTATTCATCACTGCGATCGAGGATCGCGATTGAATGATACACTTATCGTCACTCTCCCGAACACGCCGCTCGTGTGAACGTCTAACGATGCGCGTCGTGTTGTGCACCTCTGCATCCACTAATGACCTCATTAAGCCTACGGACGTGGACAGTCATGTGATTCATTTTGACATACGCCTCTTGACCGATAAATGGCACCGTTCGAAGGTCGAGTCAAATCAGGCTCATCGATTTTGAACGCATGGAAAATGAATGACGTTTGATAGGCATAGAAAATGCAACGAAAAAAAGAGAGTTTCATTGCGCGGTTTAACCACGTGGTCAAACAGTGTCACCACTTTCGAGTGGTCTTTAATGACATTCGTTTGAAGTCTGGAGTCATATATTTAAATTGAAGTTAGTGACAGATTTTTTCTTATGAGAAGGTGGGAATCTCTAATTGGAATTTATGGATCACACTTATCTCAGTGTAGCTAAGAGATAAGTGAAAATTGTTGTCGGTAATAATAATTTATTAAATCATATTAACATTATGTAACAATACATTTAGCAATTGTATGACTCAATGATTGGAATATATTATTCTTATAATGAGAGTAGGAATTACATCATCATGAGAAAACTTCCTTGAGCTATGTAATTTGCATCAATTTCTACTATACTTCTCAGCTATACACCCATGAGAAAAAAAATATACTAATACATGGAAATATACTTGAATACCTTTGTAATCACACACCCATGTGGCAAAATATGCTTTCTGTTGCGCTCGTAGAGACACTTGGAACCTGGATGTCGCATCACAGGTAAGTCACGCTCAAATATATGTAATTCAATTGCAACTGTAATCGTATTACTCATTTCTACTAACGTAGCAGAGCTGTGATGACAGCTCTGTTTCTGTTAGATATATGTGATAAAGAACCAATACATCTTTAATTGCTTATACGCTAAGAGATGATCTGGAATTGAGGTAGAATTGATGGCCCGAGAAGAGAAAGGTGAGGACGTAGATACACGCGGCGATCCAGCAGTTGTACGCGTTCTGCATATAGCCACGATCCGCCACTTTGTAGAAGTCCTTCAGCGTGGTGAAGTTCTTGTTTCCCATTGGCAAATCCTCTACCAGGGCTACGCTGCGGAAGTAGAAGAACACCCCCATGAGGAGCTGAAAGAAGAGACAGAATTAGACGTCTGGACGACTATTGGTACAATAACAGATTGCGATTTCTCTCACCAGCTGAAATATTCCCCAAACGGACAACACTAAACCGCACAAAGCGTACTTGGGCCCGCAAATCTTCATCCTCAACTATCAAGATCGTTCGAGACAGAGTCGAGTTTAACCTAATCGCGACGCATCCACTGTCCGCGAAAATCTTTGGATTATCAGCCGCGATTCGTTGCGATCGTCAGACTCAAACAGGTGTCCCGGACACCGCGTTCGCTACACCCTCGGCGATTCACTCGTTCGCGACGATCGGTCACAGGAATAATTTGTAATCATGTGACAGACTCGGGACGATAACAATAGGTTTGTTCGTGTTGCTTACACTTTTGACACTTTTACACCTAACGCCCGCTGCACACTGGTTTCTCTTCAGAAAGAAGAATTTTCATTGGATTTCGCTTATCGCGTACGGTGTGCAATGGGCATTAGGTGCAAAATAGCATGTTCGATTGGCTCTGGGTTAACCCACTCTGGATTATTTAGCCTACGTTTATTGGTCGAACAAGTACTTTTAAGCTTTATGATTGGCTAGTAGAGACTTATGACGTCATTAACCGCTGTCGAAGCGATTAACCCAGGGCCAGTCGAACACAATAAAAGTGTCGAAAGTGCAAGCAACATGAACGAACCTCATATCAATGTATTGTATTGCACTCTGAGTGACAGCGATATCGATGAGTTGTAATATGCATACAGAATATGTCAATTAACAAGGAAATCGTTCTTTTATCTACGTTGTCCGTCTTCATTTTATTTTCCTTCTTATAGTACGTAGGCGTTTTGTCTCGAAGACGAAAAGTTTAATGATAAAAACAGTAGATCCGAAAAAACGTTATTTGTCTATTTTTTGTCGTTGAAATAGAGTGCATTTATGGAATTTAAAAAGAAATATACAGTTGAAATTTGATGAAAAAAAAGAGAAAAAAATTAATACAAGTTAGTGCAGCCAGTTCAGTAATAAAAAATCAACTTCGTATTTCATCGTTTAATTACGTTAACATTTTTTAAGCTTGTACACCATTCCTTTCTTTCCTCAGAAATTAAAATATTAATCTCATTCTACATATGCAAAAGATTCACTGAAATGTAGGTGAAATAAGAGACGTTCTTCTTGTATGAATATCTTTTCTTATTTGGACACATCACTTGTTTACTTCCTTTTATTTATGCTGCTCCATCTCTCAGAATGAGTTCTCTCGTCGAATAGATCCTTCGTCTCGTTGGACATTCCCGCCATTCGCGTATACTTTGACCAACTTTTCGCCAGATAGCGCCAGCTTACAAGTCGATGGCGCTGCGATAAGCGCAAATTGCGCGTGCGGACGAAGTGCGAAACTCACGGGCGTGATTCATGCTTCCTGGTGTTGTCAGCCCTGATTCATAGGATCATGGTTGACCGATTGGGTTAGTTGGTGCTGCGCTTATTAGCATTTAATTAATATCGTGTATTTTACAAAAAGACGAGACCACCGAGTTCGTCGCGCGTCGAGGAAGTGTCCGCGTGCTGCGATCGCCATGAGGAACTTGCATTCCGGTTATTTTGTCACGCACTCCGTATGATTGGCGCGCACACACGGGGATAACGGTCCAGCAAAGTGGGCTGTGTTTTTGACAGCTAAAGTGCGAACGGTGGGTCCGCTTCGTTCAGCTGCACTCTCGGTACACTTTTTAACGAAACGAGATTAGTATATGCTCGTATACGTGCTCGGAACGAGGAGGGAAAGAACAAAAATATGGGAAAGTGTAGGAAGTGCAGCTAAAGAGAGCGGATCTGACTCTCGGTCGGGCGGTCGTTGTTATAAATCGTCTCCGTCTCCAGGATGTGGGCGGGTTTCTACAGCGATACTACCGAGACTCCTGCTAATCTTTGTGATTTCATCTGTTTCAGTGAACAGCGAAGCCAATGCCAGGCGTATCGCGATGGTCGAAAACTGCTTCGGCAGTTCTGGCCAGGTAAGTGGTCGACGTAATGAGTCGGGCATGCAAATTTCTCTCTGTGAATAGTCAGAGACTTAGTTTGCTTGTTAAATTACACGCGACCAGTTATAGTAATATCGATGACTCACTTCTGAACGTTCTTTTCCTTCTTATAGCCACTCGCGGTACCTGGCAGGGTTTTGGTGGGAGAAGGTGTCCTGACAAAAATGTGCAGGAAGAAGCCAAAGCCGAGACAGTTCTTCCTGTTTAATGACATATTGGTTTATGGGAATATCGTAATAAATAAGAAAAAGGTAGATGTCCAACAGAAATTTTTATTTTGCTTTATAGGACTGAAACTGTGATAAGTAAAATATATAGAATAATTACAATGACAATGATATTATATCAATAATATCAAGATGTAATGATTAATTTACAGTACAACAAGCAGCATATAATACCACTAGAAGAGGTAAAATTAGAGTCTCTAGCTGATGAAGGTCGTAAGTATGGTGTTATATATTACTTGGTATACTAGAATGAATTTGATTTATATATTATATTTGTGTACTAGAAACTTTGGTTTAGAGAATACATCATGTTTTATGTGATAATATATGTGGGAAAGTTTTTAACTTTAATAATACAAATATTATTAAGTAACATTATCTAGCTACTAAAGATTATCTGACTACTGATTAAATATCAATCATTATAAGTTGAACTAAATATTTTAGATGTGTATTGGAAAGTATATGTATATGAGTATAGATGATATTCCAAGTACATAAGATCTTACATTGCTTAACTGTCTTTCCTCATTATACATGTGATTCTTTTCTTAACTGTAGACCCTTGTGCATTTACTGCATTATAAATTTAATTAGTTCTTTGATTATTATATCGCACAGTGTACGGATCAACAATCAAACGAGGCCATACTTAGAAAATATTAGTATAGTATTGGATCATTATTTATAGAATATCGTAATGGATGGCTCATTAAGACAGTAACAAAGTCGTTTGCTGTTTATGCTGCTACCGCAACAGAGAAGCAAGAATGGATGGCACATATTACAAAATGCATTGAGGATTTATTAAGAAAGAGTGAGTGAAAGCCAAAATGTACTTGTAGATAAATGATTGAATCATTTTTCTAAATTTTTTGCTTTTTTCTTTCCAGGTGGCAAGAAACCTGTTGAAATTCATGCAGCAGTTTGGGTACCCGATAATGAAGCTACGATTTGTATGCACTGTAATAAAACACAATTTACGGTATTAAACAGACGGGTAATTATTAATAGAATCACTATTAATTTAGAGCAATAACATTTGATGTTCGAAAATTAAGATTATTGATTATTTTTTATTTCAGCATCACTGTAGGCAATGCGGTGCAGTAGTCTGTGGGCCTTGCAGTAATAAAAAGTTATTGCTACCTGGGCAAGGAAATGGGAAAGCTGTTAGGGTCTGTCTACAATGCTACGATGCTGCTAGTAAAGTCAAAGCTTCACCTCCAATTGCTGTGGATGGTCTAAATAAAGATCCTCAACGTAATTCTGCTGATAGCTCGGGAGGAGACAGTTCTGGAGACGACGACGAGGGAAATAAGGAGGAGAATCATGATGAGGTAATCAATAGTGTTTCTTTCATCAAAAACTACTATCTGTGCTACCCACCTATATACAGGATATCTGACGTAAAACGCACAATACCATGGCTCACAATATCGTGCGCATTGGTTCGCTAATCTTCTTTTTTTAATATCTCGAAATTACACATAGTTATTTGCAAACTACCAGGTGTTTTCGTGCTCAGGTGGATGCGCTCTACTTTCACATGTCTTACATCGGATACCCTATATCTGTGTGTATGCACATATGTGTATGTGTGTGCGTGCTTGCGTGTGTGTGTGTAAAATTGCAATAAAATTTTTGAATTTGACTTGTTGAAGATAGTAGCTTTTTATGAAGTATATATATTAGCATTTACTATTATATAATGATAACTTCTTTCTCTTGCAGCCTAAATTCTATTCCACGCTCGGCCGATGAAGATGTTTATAAGTTGCACCTAACAATGAAAGAGATACAAACATTTTACAGAAAAAAACTTTTTTGAAAACCCATAATATACAACTATCGTGAATAGAAAAGTTTGCAGGAGTATCCTTAGAAATATTATGAAACAATGTGTGCAAAGAACTGAGGAAAGATATATATGTACAAATATGAGATATGATTTGTGCTAAAGATCGCAGCGTGTTCATCGCTAGATTTGTATGTCTTATTGATATTATAAACTTCTGCAGCTTTATTAATGACGGATACTCTAATTTGTTAACGGGAACCAAACGAGAAAATGTCAAGTATGTACAGGTGATTATGAAGTTATAAGAAGTTCTAATGTTTCTCCTAAACATTTCATTAATAAATCGTTAGAGATAGTTATCGACAGAAGTTTATAATTGCAAACATTATTACATCAATCGAACTCAATAGTGAGTGTAATTAGATACATTTTTCACCGATGTATGTATATTAAAAATATATGCCACATTGTGCCTTTTACATTATTGAGAGATCAATATCAGATATGTAAGCAGCTGATGTAACCTCTAACGTTACATGTAGAATGCATCTTCAGGATGCAGTCTCACCATTTTTAATATATAGATTTCTCTATCAATCAAATATCAAATTTGTTTAGAACTATGCACGTGGTTGTAATTGCATAAAGTACATAATCATCAAACATAATATTCGAAAAAATAAAACGTTATATTATTACACAAATTTAAAGGAGTGTTATTTGATAAAATATTAAAATTATTTTTTCATGGTATTAGTGTAATAACAAAAAAATGTAACTTTTATCTTTAATTTTTAGATACATATCAAGAATCTCTACAAGTACTGTTTGTATATCTAGCATAGAAACACGCAATAGGCGAAATCAAGAAAAAAAGGGTTTTTAAACATATAAATAAGATTAAAATGCCCTTCCTTATCTAGATTGCGCCAATTTGTAAAATCAGATACTCGATAAAAAAAGATGATGAAAGTAAATTATATAAAAAAAAAATACTTTTTAAAAATTTTATATGGCAAAATTATTTTGTAACAATATGACGTTAGTTTATAACATAATTTCTAGTATCTAGAATACACATAAATATACATATACAGAATAATTTATATAAAATGGATAATGTAATTATTTGTAAAATTCAAAAAAAAAATTATTTGAACTATACAAATAATTATATTGATCACTTCATATAAATCATTTTGTATATAATATATGTTATAAAAAATATACAATGAATTCTACCACTGAAAACAAATGTTAATGTTAGCTCGTGTCTACTTCATTCTACGTAAGGAGAAGATTACACTTATGATGTCTGAACTAAAAAAAAATTGTTCCATTTTTTTTATACAATTTTTGAGTTTGACTTAAGAACATTGTTATTAGTTAACTTCTTACTTTAAAACTATGCAAATTATCCTTAGAAACAAAGCATAATATTATGTATTTTCATGTAAATGCACTGAATCATTTATTTATATGAAATATTGTATACAAAAAATGTTAAAATCTTCGCCTTTGTTATTCATGGATTTTAATGAACAACTAATAAACAACGAACTTTTAATTAAAAAATCTCTTATTAACTGTAGTTTTCCATTAATGGAAATTTTATAAATCTTGCTTCATTAAGATTATTGCAGAAGATTTATAGATATGGAAAACTTATCCACTTCTTTATATTGTTACAACATTTTCTTTTTTTTTGTTACTCCATTTCGTACTCCGTACATTCCTTCTGAAATTTCACTGTAGCACAATTACTGGTTTCCAGTACTTTTTTGTAACGTTCCACCAAATCACTGATAGAACGCCTTCTCGATGTATTGTCTTGTTTTAAAACTATGCCTTTGTTGTCATCATTGACAAATTCTATTTCTGTTAGTTCATCTAGCTCAGGCTTAGCTATCTTAAATTCATGATTGAGCACATCTGCCGTTTCCTCTATCGTATCTTGCGATATGTTTGTCGGAGTATATTGTGCGGTCATGACAGGCTCTTCGCTTAAATTGAATAAACTTCTCGTTATGTTCTCGTCCAAATTGCTACCCCATGAATTGAACTCTTTCCCTATCGTGTTTTCAATGATGGAAGAATTGGCTTGTGTGTTAGATGATAGAGATATCATGCTATTATTCGCTGCATAAAAAAGAAAAATTTTATTTAGTGCTTTAAATTTCTATGAACTGTTAGACAACTCTGATGAGAGAATGCAATTTTAAATTTAAGTAGAATCGCTACGAACCTTTAACATTTCCATTTATACCTGCGGAGAAAAGTCGGGTGTATTTTTTGATTGTTTTTTTATGTAGTCGGTTTACATGAGGCGTCATAAAACGCATATTTAAGCTCTGGTTCTCGTTATTACTTAATATCATATCATTGATATCGATACGCGATACGAGTAAATTTGTCCTTAAATCTGGAGTATGATTTTGTTTGCGACGTGTATATCTTGAGAACAATGATTTATGCGGAACTGCAAACAACGTTATGCATAACATGTTAACAAGAGCAATCACAAATGTGAATGTAAAAGCTATATACATCTCTTAAGACATAATAATAGGACTTACTTTCTCCCGGAGTAAATTGCAATAATTTATGCAAATCGTTCTTTTCGTCTGCACAATTAGTGTTGATTTTAATAAGAGGCGACGGCATAAGAAGCACACTCTTCATGAGGGGCAATGCAATTTGCTCAGTTATGTGTGTCGTATTCCTTTTGCATACAATATTTTCTGTTTCCTCCGTATAATTTATTATGCTTGTTAACAAAGTTTTAAACACATTGTACATGGATTTCATGTCTTCTTGACTTGCTTGTACTTGTAAGAGGCATTGTGATAAGTCTACCAAGTAGTTTTTCCTCAGAGATTGATACACTTGACACAGTATCAAAGTGAACAGGGAAATAAAATTGTTATATATCAATTTGTTGTCATTGTACAACTTATAAAGGCAACACTGAAAGATAGTATAAACTTTATATAATAATCGTTTAAAGATAAAATAAGTTGAGATTGTTTTTCATTTAACACAATAGGCTGTGCATAGTCTCAGTCATATTGAAATACAAAAACTGTTGTTTGTTGTTTTACATACACACATACACAAATATGTGTGTGTGTGTGTGTGGTGACAACTATATGTGATCAATTGTACAAATTTACCTGAACAATAGGTGGAAACGGTAGCTCTGATATCACAGAACAATTAATTTCCTTCAACTGTTTACCATCCAATGCCTTTGAATTGTTTAATAAATTTGATATTATACCATTTATATTCTCACATATTTTTTCTAGGTCCTTTAAATTTCCGACTCGTTTTCGTATGTAACGTACACTCTCCTTTAGACTACTTTTCCACACTAAAACCCATGTACAATTGTTAATTCTGCAAGCGATATAATAAATGGATTCTCTATTAATAAAGTATATGTTAAATGATACTAACTTTGAATAACTTCCGAATCCTCGACATCTGCTAAACGTTGTTTTATGGATGCATCAACAGGAGCTTCAGCTATGTATTTTACCATAGATTGTTTTTTATCAAACAATTCTGCTTTGATTTTGGCCAGCTCTTCCTTCTCTTCTCTGAAAAATAAGAAAACAAGCAGATTAGTTGCACAGCTTATAATAAATTAACCAAAAGTTATGTATTTTTGAAGAAAATAATAAAATATTACGCCAGTGCGGAATTAGCAGCTTTTTCCATCTGTAAACAACTTCTGTGATGACTTGCTATATTACGATTAATATTTGCCTTGGACTGTTGTAGGTAAGTTTTGTTGAGTTCATCTATAGAACCTGGCTTTGGTGCGAATAAAACTTCACCATTTCCTCCTATAAAATAATTTATTATTATAAAATATATAGATTAATGTAGTTTTATACTTTATCAGAGATACAGAGAATCACTTCCAACAAAATTAATATATTTTATGTAAAAAATTACTTGCCATTATGCATGATATATCTTCTTATTGTAAGCTGAGATAATTTCCACATTACAATCATGAATTTGGTGCCACTTGCATGATGTAAATATGTGCTAAGTACAGGAGGGAATCCTATATCTGGATTCTCTAGTGATATAGTATTCAAATAGTCTTTGACATCATTACGATACTTTGCCTCTGTTTTTTTACAAACTATTGGCCATTCAACCAGTTTTCTAAAACGCTCTACATCGCATATTGTTAATAAATAGTAGGTGACCTGTATAAATCCTGCAGTATTCGGTTTATCAAACATTCCCTGTAACATGTAATTATTTATTACTCTTTATTCTATCAGAGAGTAAACATTAATAGGTATAGTATAGGAATAAAATAATAATACACATATATGTATACATAGATATATAAAAAATCAGTCCATATAATAAAAACTTACTTCTCGAAAATGTTTTTTGAAACTATCGCTCGGTGGAACCAATTGATTCAGTAAAAAAACATTTCGATGAAAAGACGCGCTAATAGCCATTCTGTCATACACATGAACACCACACAACCACAATTAAATAATATTAGTTGAATCACCTATATAACGCATCAAAACACGCAACTTGTTGCGTTTTTTCAAACAATATAGAAATTCGAAAATAAGCAAGTAAACGACGTAAAGTAATAATTGTTCTAACTCATGAACACAAAGTGGTATCTTGTCATTTAAATTTTCAAAAACAATGCTTATAGAGAGAAACCTGAGAGTGACCACGCCAGCATTTTATTTGATGCTACTTGTACGACTATTTTATGCGTCATCTACACAAAATCTCGTAAGACAAACGATCTTTAGTATTACTCCGTCGGTAACGTAGATCTCTTTTCAATATAGACAGCACGAAACAAAATTACAAAATTACTGAGTAGAGTTATGCATATTTGTTATAATTATAAATATAAATTATTTGTTATAATTATAAATGTTTTATTGACATAGAGTGCTTTAAAATAAGGTAAATGAGTGACTGCTCTCAGGTTTCTCTCTGTACATGTATAATTTCGGTAATTATACAGTTTAAAGTCTTCATCCCCAATTCAACTGAAACTCAATAATATTGTGTATTTTTACGCGTAGAAATCGAATATGAAAGTTAAAATCGTCACTCTGCCCGTTTTATAATTTTCTATTGAATGATATTAAATGCACTCAGTGATACTTAAGTCTGTTATTTTAAGTATATTAGTCAATACAAATGCTTATACTAATGGAACTAATTTACAGAAATAACAGGTTCAAGAAGTATATTAGACCCGTTTTTTCTTAAAATTATTTCCAGAAATAACAGAACTAATGTACCTCCATAATTTCTACAAAAGATAAATTTGTAATATGTACCAGGATTTCAAATAAACATTTTTTTTCTAAAAGAGGAATCGATACTTATATAAATATTTCTACAATATATAACAAAAACATCAGAAAAAATAGCAATAGTCACAGTAACAGTAACGCATATAAAAAATATCAGGAATATAAAGATAAATTATATATAATAATTCTGCCAAAAAAATCAGTGCTCTGATTGAATAAAAATTTGAAAGTTTTAGCTTTGATTTTGTTAACTAAGTTGAATCGCTGTAGGTTGTTCATGTCTTCTGGGTAAAAAGCTTCTACGACTGTTGTATCTTTCTCATTACTACCTGCTTCCAGATAGCAATCTTTGCCAACAAATCCACCTTGAAACTCTATCTCAAAATTAGAAAGATCACACTCTTCTTTGAAGTTAATAATAATCCATTGCGGAGTACCCTGTAACAGATGTAATACTGTAATCATACTAATTAATAGCAAAGGTGCAGAATTTATTTTTGAAGAGAAATGATTACTCACTGCATCGGAATTCCAACATGTTTCAGTGGAATTATCGAACATGTGTTTCTTCCCGTACAATCGAACGTTTTTGTTTAACACCGAGCTAACTCTGAACAAAATACTGAGTTATCGTCATGATATAAGCAGTTGTTTTATGTATTTAGAGAAATCACAAATCGTGCTTACATATCTACTTTCTATCGTTATTATATTTATTAGAAAGATAAAACTAACCGGCATTCGAATTTGTTTTCTTCCAACAATGAAGGCATGTCAATAGGTCTGTTCTTTTCTTCTACACTGGCGACACTAGTGCAAGTAGTGTACACTAAAGTGATCTTTGGTCTGTTCTTTTCAGCTAACTGCTGAATTGTAAAGTTTATTGCAAATTGCAATAAGTTAAAGTGAGACAAGCATATGTTTTCTTACTCTAAAAAGATCTGCTTTTTAAGCTAGATAAGAAACAAGGAATCTCTCTTTCATCCCGCATGCCTCAAGAGGCAGCGCGCGTTCCAGGTAATATATATTTCAGTGGTTTTATCGTATGTATCGTAGCACTCACCATGCAAAAACTTTTTTGAGCTAGGCGACGTAAAAACGGGATACGGTATGAAGTCACGTGACTTCAGTATTTACTGTATCTAAAATACGAAATTGCAAAAACTCCATAGTATATGTGGCCAGCTTTACGGAGAGCCGATTTAGGCTGAAGTCCCATGGCACGTATTTTTACGTAACGCGTAATCGCGTAACCAATCACATCTTTCTATTCTTTTAGAAGTTCCAACAGAAATACTAAACGTCGAAATCTATTGGTTAGGCGCTTACGCGATACGCGAAATTACATACCATGGGACTCTAACCTCAAGTGCTGTGTTCCAAAATTCTACTCGACAGGTAGAGTAGCATTTAATTGACCAAAGAACAAAGATAACTAGGATTTCTTTATCATGATTGGTCAGTTAAATGTACTCTATCCACCGAGTAGAATTTTGGAACGCAGCCATAGGGACCTAATTTCAGAGGCCGCCACTAATGCTGGTCACGTAAAATACATTACAGTTTGGAAGCCCTGGTCTATATATACTAAGTCTATGATCAAGACCGAGACAATTGGGAGACTCGAGAAGCATCAGCGAAGTTTAGTTATAATATAACAACAGCATGGCACAATATCTAGATTCCGAAGCAGACGTGAGCGAGGTAAATATTTTTGCGACTTTCGCGCTTTTTTCTCCAATATGTCGTGAGTTTTATGTAATATAATAGCATGTTCAAACGATGTTCATCACTACGTCGTTTCTTGAACGTTTAACGTGTTTTAGGGGGAGGAAGAATTGGATCAGAATGAGAAGAGAAAGCTGAAGAAGCTGAAAGCGATGGAGGAGAGCGACGATGAAGAGGAGGACGGTAAGAAATGCTATGATGTATTTTCATATTTTCTTTCCTTATGCGTACAACAGATGTTCGATAAATGTTACGACGATCTTCTGTGTTGATATACAAACGACGTTTTTGTTCGAATTAGTAAAATTTGTTAGTAAGCAGTGCCAAGGAATAGTTGCAAATGATTAAAAAAGATTAAGTACATCTAGTATCAATAGGTCTGGTCTTTTTTGTTGAACTAGTGTATATTCACAAAACTTGAAAAGAACATATATAATTAAAGCTTGATAAAGAAAAAAGAGAAAAGAACTAGTTAGCAAGTTAGTGCAGGCAATGCAGTAAAAAAAAACAGATTAATTGCATTTTTTAGTGCTATAATCTCTCATTGTCTATTTGACAAACTCTTGGATTTGACAGACATGTACTTTCTTTCTTGGATTTGTTCAAGATCGGAACTAATTAGATTTAAAAACTTATTAAGAGCTTTATAAGTATTTCTAGTCCTGAACGCATCACATATGTTACACATATTTAGTTATTGAATGCTCAGTAAGCTTTTGAATTTAGTTGGTAGAAACTTTTAAATTTGCAATCATTAAATGAATATGTATGTATATATGTATATATTTATGAAAAACTATAAATTGCTAGAGTTTGCCTTAGTGTGCAGAAGAAAATTTTATAACAATTGCAGAAACTTTTTTTGTCAAAATCAATATCTTCACATCAATATCTTCACATTATTGTTAAATCAGTGATTAATATAGAGTTTACAGATTTTTAAAACTTGTTATGTCGGATAATTTTTAATTGTAACTAATTATATACATCGACATGTTATATTTTATAGATGATGAGGACCAGTTACGTGAGGAACTGAAAGATTTAATAGATGACAATCCCATAGATGAAAGTGAAGGTGAAGACAGTGATGGTTCTGATCATCATAAAAAACGTAAAAAAAGTGATGAAGACTTTGACGATCGTTTAGAAGATGAAGATTACGAGTTACTGGAAGAAAATTTGGGTGTTAAGCTTCAGAGAGTATGTACACTTTAATTATCTTTAAATTAAGATGGTATATACATATCTTGGCCTAAAAAATTAGCATATTTTATGAATTTTTTTTTTTAACTAAAAATGATAGCATGTTTGGGTTTTTTAGGGCTTAAAGTATGAACTTTCTACTATGTTTATATATTTTTATTTATTTATTTTTTGCAATATACAGTCGTGTGTGCAAACGCATTTAGCTCTTCCTGAAATTTTATCTTTATTGGGCACGGGAAAATTGTCTGCATGCTTTATTTGAAACAAAAAAAACAAAAATATCTTTAAAAGTTATAAAATCTTACACACCTTATTGGATGGGATTTTTTAAATTTAGATTTTTAACAAAATTGCGAACTATTGAAATTTTCATATCAATTTTTCAGGTAAATTTTCATTTTATATTATAAGAAAATTATAGAAAATATTAAAATAAAAAAAAGCATCCGATAAGATGTGAAAAATTTAATGTAGAATAAGTAGGAAAGACCCTGTTCAAATCAGTTGCACCATTTTCGAGAAAAACCTGTGTCCAATTTTAAATATAGTTTCGATAATAACGTTTTTGAAGTTTTGCAATAAGTTTACATGTAGATAATATTTTAGTTATGATATAGTGTAGATATTATTTAATAGTTTTTTTCCAACTTACATGTCATCGTCTATTCCTGGTCGATAAAAGGAATCTTTAACGATAGCGAAGTTACCTTCCAGTTGGCTTTTTTTGAAGCCTTCGCAGAATACGTGCTTCTTGAGTCGCGTGTTGCGCGCGGATGGTTGCCTGGGTTATTATAAAAGGCCGCGTATTGTGACGCATTCCGGCCAACTATAATGCCCATTGTGTGCATAATTTTTAACAGTAATGCTATTCCTTCGTTGAATAGGCGAACTGTAATATTTGATGCAATTGTTACTATTTGAACACCGCTTCTAATCGTTTTTGAGGCCACTCTCCAAATCAAATTATTCAAACTTTCGTTTGAATTTTGAATGAAGAGACAACGTTTCAGCAGTTCTTCTTTTGAAAAATTATCGTAAATCAGATGAATCGCCTTGAAAATATCAAAAGGGAAAGCGTTAAAACTTTTCACATAATTTTTCAAAGTGCTATTAGCTTTTGCTTCTCATTCGCATTAAGAATCGACGCTTTATGGAGAAAGTTCGTGGTGTGATTCTGCTGTCGAATTGTAATGGTTAAATGTTGCCTAAATTACACTTCGCATTTTTCCAATGGAATAATGGTCTCTGCAAGACCGTAATATGGGGTGAGTTTATTGACCATTTTCGTAGTTAAATTGTTCTTTTCATCTTCCACATGTGGAAGATTTTTAGTTTTTCGGGACTTCAAATATCATGTTAGGATCGATAAAGAACAATAGAAAAGATCACCGAGTGTACCTAAAATCTTTTCAGCCACTCTTACAAAAGCATTTCTATCTGAGTACCATTAAAAAAAAAAACTTGGCGTAAGTCTGTGCGTCATGGTATATAAAGCGTTATATCTTCTATAATTTACGAAATTTCAGAAAACGGTTTCACTAACTCTTTCTAAACACATCAACCCTTCAAAATAAGAAAAAAATCGATTTTTTTACCCCGAAAAAAAAAAAATATATATATATATACATATATATATACACCTCTTTAATAAATAATTTATCTTTAGGAAGATGTATGTGTATTAAGAATTTAATTTTTTGTTAAAGAAACGTTTCAAACGTCTTCGAAGAATCCAAGATGAGGAGTCTGAAGAAGAAGAACAAAAAGAAGCAGATGAGGAAAGAGATGCCATTGCCAATGAATTATTTGAAGGCTCTGGAGATGTAAGTTCTACAAAGATATACAATGCAGTGTTATTTTGTTAAATACAACTTTTATCAACTTCTGTCTTTTTTATCTATATTCGATAATTTTTTGGAGCATCGCGGCAATTCATAAAAATATAATTTAATTTTGATTTAATCTCCTACTAATATGTATTTTATGATCCTTGTTCTAAACTTTCTTATTCTAATCATTTATCGATAAAGGTGCCGCTAAATGTGATTTAAAGCTAATTAGAAAGCTTACAGACCACATTTAAAAACACTTTTATTGATAAAAGAGAATTCAGAATGAGGATCCGTACATATAAATGCATATATAAACACACACATGTAAATATGTAAATATCACGTTTGTATTTACCGTATACATGCGTACTCACGTCAGGAAAGAGAGATAACGGTACGTACAGCGTGACATTTTTTAATACCTGTATTTATTTACGTACGAATATAATATTCTAACGTATGCTTTTATTCTGTTTACAGGAGGATGAAAGACGAAGTGAACGGAGCCACAGGCCAGAAGTAGAAAATTTCGAGGAGGGCAGTGACGAAGGCGAATATACTGACGCGGATGACTTTATTGTTGATGACGATGGCAGACCAATCGCTGAAAAGAGAAAGAAAAAGAAACCAATATTTTCAGATGCGTATGTAGAATATTTAAATTTTAATTATACAATACAATATAATATTACAATTAATATCTGTCGTACCATATATACATAACATATTGCTTAAATATAAGGATATTTTCTTTATTTTATAATCGATTAATAAGTTTTACATCTATTTGTCTACTTATAATTCGCATGAGTGGAGAGATAAATTGCATTGTTTAGGGCGTTGCAAGAAGCGCAAGACATCTTCGGCGTTGATTTTGATTACGACGAATTCGATAAATATGGCGAGGAAGATTATGAGGAGGAGGAGGAAGAAGAGGAAGACGAGTACTTGGATGAGGAGGTTGACGCTGAGCGGCCGCGACGTCCGAAGAAGCAGCTGAAGAAGAAAACAACGAGAAAGAGCATCTTCGAGATTTACGAACCCAGCGAATTGAAGCGCGGCCACTTCACAGACGTGGATAATGAGGTACGAGTACACGATGCGCGATATCAATAATTATGTACATCAATCGTTAAATTACCACTTACGGAGTCTGATTTTTAATTACAGATACGTAACACAGATATACCGGAAAGGATGCAACTTCGGTCGGTACCAGTTACACCGGTTCACGAGGGTTCCGACGAGTTAGAACAGGAAGCAGAATGGATTTATAAGCAGGCGTTCTGCAAGCCTACGATCTCGATTCAAGACGCCCACTTGAACGCCGAGGCTAAAGAACGTGCTCGCAAAGGGCCTCAGACCATCGCCAAGATCAAGAAAGCCTTGGACTTCATGCGGAACCAACACTTCGAAGTTCCCTTCATATCTTTCTATCGGAAGGAATACGTGCTGCCTGAGCTGAACATCAACGATCTGTGGAAGGTGTACAAATACGATGCCAAATGGTGTCAACTGCGTCAGCGAAAAGAAAATCTGCTCAAGCTGTTTGAGAAAATGCGCAACTACCAGCTGGATGAAATCATGAAGAACGCAGACGCGCCGCTGCCGGAAAATGTGCGGGTGATCAAAGACGACGACATCGAGAGATTGAAGAACGCGCAGACGAGTGAGGAGCTCAACGATATCTACCATCACTTTATGCTGTACTACAATCACGAGATCCCGAAGATGCAAGAGACCGTGCGAAAGAAGGAGAAAGAGGCGCGGCGGGAGGCGAGAATTCAAAGGCGCAAACAACAGATCGCCGAGGCCGAGGAGAACGGCGAGGATCCACCAGAAGAAGAGCCGGAAGCTGAGGAAGACGAAGAAATAGACGAGACCTTGAAACAGGCAGTAAGAAGCGGACCTTACTCGATTTGCAGGAAGGCCGGTTTGGACGGTCTGGCAAAGAAATTCGGCCTAACGCCTGAGCATTATGCTGAGAATCTTCGTGACAATTATCAGCGTCACGAGGTAGACCAGGAACCCACCGAACCGACAACGATTGCGACCGAGTACAGCAGTTCGCGATTCAAGAGCCCTGATGAGGTACTGAAAGCCGCGCAATTGATGGTGGCGATTCAACTAGCGCGCGAGCCTCTTGTACGTAAGTGCGTACGCGAGATGTACATGGAACGCGCCAAGATTTCCGTAACGCCGACAAAAAAGGGCATCAAGGAGATCGACGAGAACCATCCGATCTATGCTATGAAATACCTCAAGGATAAACCGGTGCGTGATCTCGTAGGCGCGCAATTCTTGAACCTGATAATCGTCGAGGAAGACAAACTCGTCACGATAACTCTCAGCGACACCATCGAAGGTAACACCACCGGCAACTACGTCGACGAGATGAAGCAGCTCTACTACCGGGATGAGTTCAGCAAGAACGTGCAGGACTGGAACGCGCTGCGTGTCGGTAGTGTCGAGATCGCACTCAATCGTATGGTCATACCGAGCTTAAAGAAGGAGCTGCGGACCAACCTAATCGCTGAATCGAAGGAGTGCGTGATGCGCGCCTGTTGTCGCAAGATGTACAACTGGATCAAGGTTGCGCCGTACAACTGCGAGTTCCCCGAGGAGGAGGACGAAGAATGGGACACCGGCAAGGGTCTACGTGTCATGGGCTTGTCTTACGTGCCCGACTACTCTCAAGCTGCTTTCACTTGTCTAGTTGCGGCCGACGGCGAGTGCACGGATTATCTGCGGTTGCCGCACTTGATGAAGCGCAAGAACAGTTACCGCCAAGACGAGAAGACCATGAAGGAGGCAGACTTGCTGGCGTTAAGAAATTTCATAGCCACGAAAAAACCTCACGTCGTGGTGGTGTCCGGCGAGTCCAGGGAAGCGATGATGATAGCGGCCGACATTAAAGAGTGCGTCACTCACTTGACCGAGGACGAACAATTTCCCAATATCCAGGTAGAGATTTGCGACAACGAGCTTGCGAAGATTTATTCCAACAGTAACAAGGGTATCTCGGAGTTCAGGGATTATCCACAGCTATTGCGTGAAGCTATTTCGCTGGCGAGGAGAATGCAGGATCCACTGGTAGAGTTCTCGCAATTATGCACGGCTGACGAGGAGATCCTCTGTCTCAAATACCATAGTTTACAGGATCAGTTGCCCAAAGAGGAATTGTTGGAGAATCTTTACCTGGAATTCGTCAATCGCGTGAACGAAGTCGGTGTAGATGTCAATAAGGCAGTTCAGCAAGCATACTGCGGCAATCTGGTACAATTCGTATGCGGCTTAGGTCCCCGGAAGGGTCAAGCTTTAATTAAGATGTTGAAACAAACGAATCAGAGATTGGAGAATCGAACACAGCTTGTAACTGCCTGTCACATGGGGCCGAAAGTGTTCATCAATTGTGCCGGTTTTATTAAGATCGACACTAATAGTTTGGGCGACAGCACCGAAGCGTATGTGGAAGTGCTTGACGGTTCGCGTGTGCATCCCGAGACTTACGAATGGGCTCGAAAAATGGCAGTGGATGCTCTCGAGTACGATGACGAAGATGCTAATCCTGCCGGCGCTCTCGAGGAGATACTCGAGTCTCCAGAGAGATTAAAAGACTTGGATCTCGATGCTTTTGCCGAGGAACTCGAGAGGCAAGGCTTCGGCAACAAATGCGTCACCCTGTACGATATCAGAGCTGAGCTGAACAGCAGGTACAAGGATCTTCGCGTGCTTTACCAGTCTCCCAGCCCGGAGAAATTATTCGATGTCTTAACTAAGGAAACACCCGAGACTTTCTACGTCGGCAAGTTGGTGTTGGCCACTGTGGTTGGCATCAGCCACCGGAAACCACAGGGTGAGCAACTAGATCAGGCAAATCCAGTTAGAAACGAGGACACTGGTCTATGGCAGTGTCCGTTTTGCCTGAAGAACGATTTCCCCGAACTGTCGGAAGTATGGAATCACTTTGACGCTGGCGGTTGCCCGGGGAAAGCAACTGGCGTGAGACTGCGATTGGACAACGGTATATCCGGCTATATTCATATCAAGAACTTGTCCGACAGACACGTCGCGAATCCCGAAGAGAGAGTAAGCATTGAGCAGATCATCCATTGTCGTATCGTGAAGATCGAGGTGGATCGTTTCAGTGTTGAGTGTACCAGCAAGAGCAGCGATCTCGCTGACAAGAATCATGAATGGAGGTAAGCGAATTATGACAAATTACGTATAAAACATACGAGGGCTATTTTTTTTTCAAGGTCCGATCGATCGCAAAATTAAAGCCACAGTGAAAATCAATTTTTTTTAATTTTCAATATCTAAGTATATCTTTCGGCTACTTCTCTACATAGTCGCCATTCCAATGTAGACATTTTTCATAGCGTGGTATCAGCTTTCCAATACCCTCGTGATAGAAGGCAGCCGCCTGTGCTTTCAGCCAACTGTTGACGGTGGTCTGAAGCTCGTCATCTGTGTGAAAATACTGTTCTCCTAGCCAGTTTTTCATGTGGGGAAAGAGATGAAAATCCGAAGGAACCAAATCCGGGCTGTACGGCGGATGATCAAACACTTCCCATTCGAAACGCCGCAGGAGCGTTCCTGCACCATTGTCGCACTTTGCTGTCACTCATGAAAGTTTGACCATACACATTACTCATTCGTCGATGAATTTCCGCAGCATTGATCCCCTCAGCATGAAGAAACCGAATGACAGCACGCAGCTCACACTTGGCGGGAGACTTTCTATTGTCCTAGGCATGTTTACTCGCTCACCACGCGCTCAGGACTGACGAGAGAGACGTGATGTGATCGGTAGTCGTACTACACACTCTGCGCAACATATCTGCACAAAGCTTCATAGGATTTTCACTGCGGTTTTAATTTCGCGACCGATCGGACCTTGAAAAAAAAATAGCCCTCGTATATAACGTATAAAATGAATATACAGAGGATAGAAACAATTAATTAAATTGTCTTCATAGTGTGTGTGTTACTTTAATAAAATAAAAAATCTGTAAAAATCATTGATAGGTCTTTCAGCTCAAGATACTTTTGCAACGATTTTCTCATTGTCTTAACTGCGAATATAATTTGCATTTAATAATTTATCGCGTTTCACATGTAAATTGGTCAGTATAAATTAATATATCGTACATTTTCAGACCGCAACGAGATCCGTATTACGACACTGATGCCGAACAGAGGGATATGAAAGTAGAGGAGGACGCAAAGAAGGCAAAGCAGAGACAGATCTACGTGAAGCGCGTGATCGTCCATCCGTCCTTCCATAACATCAGCTTCGTCGAATCCGTGAAGCTGATGCAGACGATGAAGCAAGGCGAGGCGATAGTAAGACCGAGCAGCAAAGGTTCCGATCACCTGACAGTCACGTGGAAGGTCACCGACGAGATCTACCAGCACATCGACGTGCGAGAGGAAGGCAAAGAGAACGCCTTCTCGTTGGGCCAGAGTTTGTGGATCGGTAACGAGGAGTTCGAAGATCTGGACGAGATCATCGCGCGCCACGTGAATCCCATGGCGGCTTACGCTTCCGAATTGTTGGACTTCAAGTACTACAAGCCGACAGTAGAGGGAATCAAGGACAAAGCGGAAGAGATATTGAAGGAGCAAAAGAAAGAGAATCCCGGTGGTATTCCTTATATAATATCAGCGGCTAAGGTAAGCATTTGATGAATGTAAATTTTTAAATATATGAATGTAAATTTTTAAAACGAATTTTTAAAATCCTAGTAAGATATTTATGAAAATCTAAAATCTTAAAATTTCTTCTTACCTTTAAAATTTAAAGGTTTTCATTGCCGTAAAAATTTTATATCTTTCAGCGTCGCGTTATGGAAGCTTACGTCAAGTCAATAAAATCATCTTTGTTTTGTGTTTTCGCAGAATTATCCCGGAAAGTTCTTGCTCTCTTATCTGCCGCGAACTCGGTGCCGCCATGAGTACATCACGGTGACGCCTGAGGGCTTCAGATTCAGAGCACAGATGTTCGGTAGAGTGAACGACTTATTCCGCTGGTTTAAGGAACATTTCAGGGACCCACTTCCTGGACAATCCACTCCTAGCACACCACGTGGTGCAATGACTTCCAGAACACCATACACCACACCGGGTGCCGTTAGTGGTAAGTCTTCGAATTTCATGGGTTAGCTTACCGTTCATTTAACGCTATTAATATAATATAATATAATATAATATATAATATAATAAGATTATATATTATAATAAGATTATATATATTATAATAAGATTATTATATAAGATTATATAATAAGATTATATATTATATATAATATAATATATAATCTTACTATATAATCTACAATAAGTCTGCTTATAATCTAGTCAATTAATGTCCCTGCAGCTTATGTCAACTGTTATTACGAAGGCAACGTTTCTATTCCAGGAATGAATCAAGAGGCGATACAAAGAGTGGCGCAGAATCTTCCACATCACATGCTGCACTCCTTGTCGCAGGTGGCGAACCAAACGCCACATCATTATCCGCCGCATACCCCGGGGGCAACTGGCGCCGCTGGTTATGGCGGAGTACACACGTATCCGAATACACCGTATACGCCGTCCGGACAGACTCCATTCATGACACCGTACCAGACGCCTCATCATACTCCACATCATGGTCAGCCGACCCCGAGATACGGTCAACAGACGCCGAGCCATCATCAAGGGCCCTTCGTGCATCCGCCCCCTCCTTCGATGACTCCCGGTCATCACAGATCTGTTCCATCGCACAGACCTACGCCGCCCTTATCTACTCCTTCCGGCGATCCCACGGATTGGAGAAAAGCAGCCGAAGCGTGGGCGCGACTAAAGAGCGGTCCCCGTGTATCGTGAGTTTCGTTCTCCTTTTGTGCTGTAATTTTCCATATAAAAGATATTGGAACTTTACGAACCTGTCGTTAAAAACTAAAACTAAGCTCGCGTTCAGTTTAACGTTAATGTGATTTAAACGTGCTTTCAGTGGATCGACGCCGAGGTACGAGGAATCGAGGAAAACTCCTCGCAGTTACGACGAATCAGCTGGCAGGACGACGCCTTCAGGCAGAAACAGACCTTCCTCCACGCGAACTCCGTCGTATAAATCTCCGCGGGGTACTCCACATACGAATTCTAGTCCGCGGAGCATGTCCTTGAGCGGGGACGGTACTCCTCTATACGACGAGAGCTAACAGGGTCGTCGTGCCTGTGTACACACATATAGTCTATTATATTTATTAGTTACATCATATCAAATGCGTGCTGACGACGAGCATTTGTATCGTTCCTGTCAAAGGGAAACGCCAATCGTGCGCGTCGACGTGAACGTTAATTGACATGAACCGCGATCTGCGACACACGTAGACTTGTACAAGTTCCACACTTATGCGCACGAAATTTTCGTTTGCATTATATCAAGGAATAGATAAAATTGATAACGCTACACGCCTACGATGTGATTGTAACACGATCGCATGAATCGTGATTTATTTATTTGGCAAATATATATATATATATATATATATATATATATATAATATATATATATATATAAAATATATATATATATCTTCCTATGAGCCGTATGTGGTAATTATTTAGTTTAACAATTTATACAATTGTTAAATGGTAATATTAAACACGAAAGTAATATACGCGAAGCTTGGGTTTTAATTATTCTGTCTCTTTCTTAGTATTCCCTGTTTCACATAAATTTAGACATTTTTTTATTAATAGTAACGGCATTTTGACCGTGTATTCACAAAGTACAATTCACAAAGTATATGAACAGTATGTACGTAACATTAGAAAAGATAGTAAATATAACACAATAATTAACAGCAAAATACGTGAAAAAATACCTTGCTCAAATTTGTATCGATTATCAATATCATATGCAAAAATATGATTATTGCTTTGCGTTATATGAGAGAAATCTGATCCTCCGATAACAAGTCCTCTCGGGGAATGCCTTCACAATAAGTATACATTATATTATGCCTGTAAGATTTTCTTGTTGGTATGCAATGCGTCGCGTTATTTCTAGATAAATGAAACAGATTACGATATCGAATTATAGTTATGTGTGATATTGAGAACGAGGAATATTCGTTGAATGAGAAAATAAATATTACCTAGATGTGTTGGTGTTTTCGTGCGATATTCTGTTCAAGGGTATTTCTACCTTCTGCCGTTTTCTCAATGTCATAGTGCATTTCGATTGTACTTTTGCATCTTTATCCGTATTTGATTGAGAGTTACGTAAGCGCTGCACAAAAAGAGAAAATCAAGCGTTTCTTTCAGAAGTGTACGATAAAGATTGTCTTGTTTTTGCTTCTTATCAATATTTTTTTTCCAAATAGTTTAAATGTTACCTTATGCGGAGACATCTTGCGTTCTTCTTCAAAATCAGAATCACTCGATGAGAACGTTAATTGTTGCGATACTTTTCGTTTCCCATTAACTGTAGATTTTCGGAATTTCTTTACATTATCCGCAGCTTTAGGTAACTTGGTAGAGGTAACCTTGTCAATAAATCGCACAGAATTTGATAAGAATCCTCTTTCAATAATCTATGAAAATATATTGACTTGTGAAAATATATAACCTCACCTGATTCTTATTTGTATTGAAAATCTCATTGGTATCCGGCAACGGTTTTTGTTTAGTCACATTGTTCTTTGATGCGTCTTTAGGATTTATCTCTTGTTTCTTATTCGGACTTAGCGAAGTTAACGACGATTTTTTCGAATTCCCCAAGCTATAGACTGGAATGTTGTCCTTCAAAGTTACTCGTTCACCTGTGTAGAAAATAAGAGAAATCCGTTTGACTTGGTCTTTATCTTGCGCATTAACTTAAGAGAGAATACACAGACATTTATATATATATATTTTTTTTATATTTAAAAAAAAAACTTATTTATCCTCTTCTCTTTTTTTTTCTATCACACACCTGTCCAATAGCTCAATGGTGGTAAGATCTTACGCCCTCTGGAACTGACTGGTACAGATAGCGAAGTCGTTGTGATATCGTGAGGCTTTTCTTCGACTACTTCTACTTCGCCTGAAGCACGAGAAACATTTCTCGTAATAAAAAGAGAATAATATACAATAATGAAATCTTACAAGAAAATTGTCACACTTACCATGTTGCAACAATTTCCACGCTAGGCAAAATTGCTCGATCTTCGCGGGACATCCGTGACGACATTGTTTTACGAGTTCCTTGGAAATAACTAAATGCGACGAAGCAAGATTATTAATTGATAAATATTTAATGTGTTGATTATCACTGGATTATACATCTACCGTGCTTATTATCACTCAGAGGCCCAAGAAGCTGATAGAATTCGTGATTCACCGTTTCGACCAATGTCGGCGACAATCGCCTAAGTACGATATCCGTTGTGAAGTTTCTATGCACGATGTGACCAGCTTCGCTAAAAAGGGAAGAAAAAAGTAATGTAACATCTTACAATTATATTAATATTATATAGTTAATATATACTTTCTATAAAATAACGGAAGTATTTACTTGAGCAATTTTCCTTGAAAAGTCAAACCCAACTCAGTTTTGAACGTGGGATGATACACTACTTTCGGCGCCCACGCAGTCAGCATCTTAGGATTGTTTTCGTCGACTTGCTTGTTAGATCGTTTAGTTACAATCGTCTTCGATTTAGTCGGACTCGTGTTATCCGATTCTTTTTTTGCATTTTTCGCGATACTCGATGCTGCATCGTTCTCTTTCTCGATGTTGACTGTTGTACTGAGAGGCAATTCGTTCGGGATAAACGCAGGTTCCGTAATGGTCGACGTTTTCGATACGGGTGCGGGCTTCTTCTTAGGAGTTTCTTCCATCGAGCGAACATTCGCGCGCTGCTCATGCGTGTCTATGATACTTACATCTGAGTCATGCGATTTCGCGGATCTATGCACATCTGCTTTAGTTAATCTTAAGTTAATATTCACAGGTATTGCCGAGACTATAGTAGGTTTAGATCTGGTAACTGCATCCTTGACTTTCGGTAGCTCGACAAATTCCTGCGAGACACGAGCCTTCTCGAGGAAATCGTTGCCATTTTCGCCGTGAACAACCGCTGCGTCTTGGCGCAAATTAGCATGAGATTCTGCTCCGTTAGATTCGCGTGTTTTACACACGTTCGTCGCAGTTGCGACGTCTTTCTCGACGTCGGAATTGGTGGTATAATCAACATCTGTAAATTGCAATTGCCTTTTCTCTTGTACTTCACGCGAGTTTTGTTTCTTCGTAAAAATGTTCGGCTTGATCCTTTGTGGCTGAATAAAATTGAGCCTGTCAAGAAAGAATGGTTCGTTGCGTTGCATACGCGTCGCAGGAGCAGCTGTTTTTTCCGTACGAATGACGGAATCCGTTCGCTGTAGCTGATGACTACTAAACGTCGTTTCCTGCGGTTTGTGAACGATATTCGCTACTCTGTGATGTGTTCTTGTGATCTCTGGCGCTTCCATTTCCTCCTCCGTGATACTAACGCAAGATTCATCGGGAAGAAGATTCTTCTTTTCGGCGTTAGACGTCGGAAGCGTGGTGTGAACGGTGAAGTTGTGTTTAACGTTTGCATTATGCTGTTCATTCGCCGCGTGCATCTGCTGGTCCAGTTGAGTAGCCTTCTTTCTCACCTTACGTCTCGGAAACTTTCTCATCGCTTCACGAGCTTGTAAAACTCGCTCGATCGAGATCTTCGGTACGCCCGCGTAAATCTCGCTCTCAGATTTATCGAAGTCTTCGTGTTCCTGTTTAACGCTATCTTTCACGTGCGATCTTAGCTGGTTAGGATCGATGTCGTTCTTTATATTCCCATATCCCAGATCGGAGGAGTGCATTTGGCTTTTCGGTTCTGTTCGTTTCTCGTGATTATTGTCATCTATATTATTATCCTTGTTGCACAGGAGTACTTGTAGCGAATTTTCTTCAGATTTAGACGTATTGCAATTTTCGGAGACCATGTTGAAATCACTTTCCGTTTTTGTTCTGTAAGACATCACATAATCCAAGCAATCGAACATTTCGATAATTTTGTCGATATATTTCGTAGAACAATTTTTATCTGCTAGGTTGTTAATAATGATACTCAATTTGTCCTCTTGAAGGAAATCTTTCAATTTATTTTTCTTCTTAGGACTGTGCGGTTGATTTACGTTCGTCTTAATATTTTGCTTATTCAGCTCGTTACTTACGTTGCTTGCTTGCGCGGCAAGACTTCTATCATTCTCAGCATCGGAAACGAAAGACTTGACGAACGTGCAATTCTCTCCGTAACTTTTGGTACTTTGCATGGAATTATATGTTTTTACTTTTTCTGACGATTTATTGCCTTGACTTTTAGGCTGAATTACTTGTTTAGCAGGTTCAATCGTTTCATAAGATCTCAATAAAGTATTACTCTTGTTCCTCGTCCTGCATACGTATGTTAAATCTGTCATTTCGCTTTTTAAGTCGTCATCACTGTCGGTGATGGGTGTGGGCCAACGAAATGTTACCAAGCATCCCTCGTTGACGAATGTTCTCCATATCTGATAAACGTTCTCCCAATCGTCAGGAAAGCCATTGTAGAATTTGCCACGTATATAATCTGGCAATTCTGTGCACAGAATATAATTATTTAAATCAAATAAAGACTATAAGAGAAAAAAGAGTAGAACAGATTTCATACAAATAATTACCATTTTTTTCATCATTAATACTTCCTTGAAGGTGATATTGGTGTTTGAAAATAGATTCAACACATGTAGCGGAATATCTTCTTATAACTGGTTTACTGCGTGCAACCTTGCCACTGTTAATGAAACAATAAATGTTACATGTAACACTTGAAAAATATTAATAACGTCAATGCTAATCATATTATCATATAGTATGTTTTACTCACCATTTTAATGTTCCCTTGATTATTAATTGATGCTCAGCATTTAACATAACTTTCCACTTTGAAAATACTCTCTCAATACTCTTTGGTAAATCTTTAGCAGGTGTTACCAAAGAATGTAGATATTCTTCATCATTATTTGTACTAGCAGATATATAACTTGTGTTAATTTTTGAATTTTTAAAGGCAAAGGTATCACTGTTTATCACTGAAGGCTGAATTGAACTGTTGAGTGGTGTCGATGCAAGTTTTTCACCTTCCGATAATATATCAACATTATTCTGTCTTCTCTTTGAAGTATGATAGACTCTGTTCACTGATGGAGGTGGCATAATTTTACATTGATCAATATAATTATCCTGTTTGGCACTGTACTGTTTAACACTAGAAGTAGCTATAATTTTTTTATTGATATCATAATCCTTCTTTTTTGACAGCATACATCTTAGGTTATTACTAGAGGCTAAAATCTTGCTATCAATTCTTAAAGCCTGTATAGATGGAGTTATACAATTGGAATTTATAGTATCTGCATTAATGCTTGAGATACTAGGCCAGCTTGATATGGATTGTTCCACTGTGTTATGTACATTTTTGTTGTGTTTCTCCTTTAGCAAGGCTAACTTCAAACAGCGTTCTAATTTCTTGTAACGTTCATCCGTTTCAAGAGTGCCAAATGTAGTCTATAATATACAATCAAATATAATTTAATGGTAATTACAAATATGATTTAATATAAAAAATGTCAAAGTTTAATTATTTAATGTCAAAATTTAAATGTATATATAATTCAAGCATATAACCACAAAATGTACAATAATACTCAAGCAACACAAATGTTTACCTCAACTTTATTTGCCATGGAACAGCATTAACACTGGAGTTTCCCCTGATGTAATTAAACTGTTGGACATATAATCAAAAGTATATATTCAGATAAATTGACTAATTTTCGCTAAATTGAGGAATATCATGTAACAATAACGTATATTACATATGAGAGATTCAAATTATTCGATATTGCGCAGTATAACTAGTAATTTTGGTTAAGTTCTTGAACATTTTCGTGCTAAGAATATTTTTCTACCTTTATCGTTCATTACCTACTGAAGGAAGATAGAATGATTTTTTCGATACGGAAGTGCGCAAAACAAACTTAGCTTTCGTGTTATGATTTTACTTTAAATAGTTAGGAGAACATGAAATACAACTGATTATGATAAAGTAACAATACCTACAAATAGTATTTTTTTTCAAGTTTCTCGTATTCCACTTTGTATATTTATAACGTTTCTGATTTATACGATATAGCGGTTATATCGAACTTTTTAAAATTATAAGTATAAAGGTAATTTACAATTGCGTAAGCGTGATGTGAATGTCAAGGTCCATTTACAATGGAAGTATGGCAGTAAGAATAACAAATTGATCAAAATTGCTGTCAATTATTCTTCTCATGTTCATACTTAATTTTTTATTAAGATAGTAGCGCTTCGTAGTGGAACTAATAATGAATTTAATCATTCTTTAAACTCGTTATGGAGTTTCATATTGCGTCCAACATACGATCAATATTCAATTATAGAATTGGTTTTCTGGAGACAAAATGTCGCTAGCTAGAAACTTTAGTAAAGGAACTTTATTATTGGTAATCACATCATCGTACATCGAATATCACGCAATGTAAATCTTCCATTATTTTTATTGGCTGCGTTCAGCAGAGAAAGCTGCTTTGCAATTGTGTAAAATTCGTGAATCTGATTGGAGTATGCTCTTAATTTAGGTTAAATCCAAGAGCATGTACCAATCAGATTCACGAATTTCACAACAGTTGCAAAGCAGCTTTCCCTGCTGAACGCAGCCATTAGTTTCGAAATCTCCGCTACGAACCACCACTGTATGCAGTGTGTTACGTCCACGATAAATAACTATATAGGGAAATTTGAAAGTAGTGAAATCAGTGACTTACGTGGACGGTCAACAGAGTGATGGCTCCGCTTTTGGGTCACTCTGCTTTTCACCGAGTTTACCCTGGGTCTCGGGAGCCTGGCGAAACGATTGATGAATCTGGCGGAAAATCAGCGGTGCTTGTTCTCCTGGCTCGGCTTCGGATGTTCCGATACCACGCGGGTTGATGCGGCCCGCGATTCAGAATTTGATTTCGCAACGTTTGAAATATGAAGGGTAGGCAAAGTAATTGCAACACAGTCGGATTTTACGACTAAGTATAATATGCTGAATAAGTACACGAAGCTACCAGAGACTAACTATGAGAAGAAAATAATTATATATATTGCCTTCTCTACAAATGCGCGCGCTTTTATACGTCGCTTTGTCGCTGAGAGTCGTTCTCCGATTGGTCCATGGAGTTATGGCGAGGGAAGAGATTCATTCCTTTGCATGATGTCACCGCGTCGGTGTCCTGAGTGGTGTTTAGGATTCAGCTTTCATGCTCCTGTTTATGTTGGCTTATCGCACTGAGCGATAGCGGTTTCTTTGGGTCGATCCGAGATCCGTCGATTTCGAGACTCTCCAGCAGCACGCAGCATTCGGCATTTTAATTATAATGTTTTAACGCTCGCGAATATGCATATGCGCACGTACTTACATCTAGTAACATAGGGATATAATATCTAGTGATGTCTGAAATCAGACAAGTCGGCCTCCCGGTCTATAATAATATATTGTTAATGTTCTAAAATAGATCCGGACGTTACAAGTGCGATTCAATTATAGGTTAAAGGTATTTTAGTTTTAAATCTTATAATTTAACAATAAGAGAGAGAGAGAGAAGATCCTTTTATTTTTAAATTATATAACTCAATGACAGGTTACACTTTTATATCACATATATTATTTATAATTAATTAAAAGATCAGTTTTCTTGATCATGAGAAATAGACAAAGCTAACTTCTTGAAAAATGCCAGTAATAATTCGTAAAGCATTTTATAGTTAAAAAATTTGTAATTTTAAATATATAAAAGTCATAACATTATTTTTTTAAGATGTACTATATTGAATGAGAAGTGTCAATCATTCAATTCTTAACAATATTTTTTAGTTGCATGTTTACATCAAAAGCTTATTTATATTAAAAAAAACATGAGGAATGCATTTTAAAAAAGAAAGTTTGAACGTTCCACTCGCTTTTTAAGAAATCTTGAACATCGATTTGATCACTTTTTATAAACAATTGAAGCAAAAAGAGCTTTCTTGTTTTAACAGTGAATAATTCTATGAAGACAGATCGCGCTATAATTTATATGTAATTTATATGTAAATTAAAAAGAAGACCCAAATGATAAAATGTGATATTTTATTTAGATGATGTGATTTAACAAACTGTCCAAAATTTTGACACTTGTTAGATTTTGATTGTATATAGTATAAGGAATAGGTAAACATTATATCTGAAAATATATTTGTAAACCGCAGACTTTAAGCTGTAAAATACAAATAATTTTATTACTGCTATCTTTGCAGAAGTAGCCATTGAATCTTGCCTATTTAATTGATCAGGTAATTTTTGTGCTGCTTTCATATGTCTTGCTTTCTTTCCAATATAATCCCAGTATAGCTAAAGAGGCATACCTGCTATCATTATGGCTAGCACAACAAAAGAAAATACATTCAATACTATAGAAGAATTAGCAAGGAATTCTGTACTAGTTCATAGTGATTCTGTATCACCTGGTACATCTACAGTAAAAGGTATTTTATTCTATGCTTTTAGCTACAATTTTTACTACCGATAATTACTAACAAAGTCTTATGTACATGCAGGTTATGATTTTAACAATGGTCTTGATTATCATGAAGTATTCAAGGCCATGAAATATTCTGGTTTTCAAGCTACAAATTTTGGATTAGCAGTGGAAGAGATAAACCGAATGCTGGATCAAAGAAGCGTACCTCTTGCAGAAGATCAAATTGACAGTTTAGAGGAAGATAAATTTATAAAAAGAAAACATAGTTGTTCAATATTCCTAGGGTACACATCAAACATGATATCCTCTGGTATTAGAGAGACTATAAAATACCTTGTGCAACATAATTTTGTAGGTTTTTATATTTAATATTTTTACTTATTAGATATCCAGAGTTCTCTACAAAAGCCTCTACAAAGAAATATTTCTAGGTAGATTGTATAGTTACTACAGCTGGTGGAGTGGAAGAGGATCTGATAAAGTGTTTAGCACCTACGTATCTTGGAAAATTCAGTTATGATGGCAAACTTCTCAGAGAAAAGGGACTTAACAGAATTGGAAATTTGATAGTACCAAATGACAATTATTGCCTGTTCGAAGATTGGGTGATGCCAAAGTTAGACACGATGCTGAATGAACAGGTGAAACAGGTGCGTGAATTCTTACAACAATGAAGAAATCATGTGCAGCGTACATTGCTGTTATTATTGTAACTGAATTAAGCCCTGTAACAGGGTACCTTGTGGACACCGTCTAAGGTAATAGCCAGACTTGGCGAGGAGATCAATAATGAAGAATCGATTTACTACTGGGCTGCAAAAAATAAGATCCCAGTATTTTGTCCAGCGTTGACTGATGGCAGCCTTGGTGACATGATGTTCTTTCATTCCTTCAAGAATCCAGGACTTGTAATCGACATACTTGCAGGTATATTTGATATAATATTTCATGCAATGTTTATTATTTATAACATAATATTCGCGGACTGATAAGAGAGAGAGAGAGATATTGATAGATAAAATTTCTCATTCCATAGATCTCAAGAGATTAAACACGATATCTATGAAAGCTGTGACGAGTGGCATGATAATCATTGGAGGTGGTGTCGTAAAACATCATATCTGTAATGCTAATCTTATGGTGAGATATTTTTATTTGAAGTATCATTGTTGTGCATCGATTAAATAATAACAAAACTTTATTATTACAGAGGAATGGTGCTGATTTTGCTGTTTTCTTGAACACTTCTTCAGAATTTGATGGCAGCGACAGCGGTGCCCGGCCCGATGAAGCGGTTTCTTGGGGAAAAATCCGAAAAGATGCCAATCCTGTCAAGGTTATTATATTGTCTGTTAATACTAAAAGTGCGATCGAGTTCGATCAAGTTCTTAAGGGACATTGTTCTTAAGGGACATTTTTTATTTCAGGTATATGCAGAGGCTTCTTTGATATTTCCATTGTTAGTAGGAGAAACATTTGTAAGATATCATGTATCCCGCAAAGATAACAATTAAATACTTAGAATATAAAGAGAATTCTTTAATATTATATATATAACTATATAGAATTATAAAAATTATTAATAAATAGAAATAATAAATTAATAATTATAAAGATTGTAAAACCATCCGATTATACGTTTTTATTAAAGTTTACTGCAACTTCAAGGAAACTTAAAGTATCGCAATGGTTTTTCGTAATGATTTCGTAATTTCTTCGTCGTCCTTTAATTTAGAGCATTCTAAGGTCTTCCTCTATTCTCTGTTATCTTGAAATGTGCCTTACAGCCGATTGAAAAACTTACAAGTCATGAGAGACTCATTTATCGATGAGAGAGTTCAGGGTACCGGCTTAAAGATTCGAATTATCCGCGAAAAAGCCGCCATTGTATTTAAAGATTTCGAAAAGCCGTGAAGTTGCTCGCGCTTTCCGCGTGATTTTTCGTTCGATTTCGGACGAGTGGTGAATCGACGCTTGCGCGACACTAGGAACCTGCGCGGCGGCAGGTGTCGGTCGGTGGCGCAGGATCACCAGGCGTCGCGGCGCGTCGCGTCGCGCTGTAGGGGGCGGTGGGGGTACCGTCGTTCGCCAGTTGTTATCCGCAAGCCCGCGCTCGCGGACGACGGGCGTGAAACCAACCCCCAACCCCCTCGCGGCTCCCTCGATTCTATGGTTTCTGCCCTCCTCCCGCGCGCGGGAACCGTCTCTCGTACGTCGGACGCCGGTGGTGGTTCCCTGTCGGTGGTGGACCTCGCGAATCGTCGTGATCGTCGTGTCGTGGTCGCGGTGCTCGTCGTCGTCAGCCCTCTCCTGCCCTTACGGGGTCAGATATCGTAGCGGTGGAGGAGGTGGTGGTGGTGGAGTTGCTGCTGGCGGTAGTGCTGCTGGTCGGCATGAACGATGATGGACGTGGAGGAGACCAACACGGCGTCTACCGCGAGCTCCTCGCCGAGACCCTCCAGCCCCGCCGCCGACTCCACTTTCATCAGGTGAGATCATCTCTTCCTCGGCGTTTTCTAGGCTAACGGCAACGAGAATCGACGTGATCCTTGGCGATTCGGATCTCGACGTCGCGGGTACGCGAAAGTGATCCTTACGTCCCCAGGCGACAGTGGCGACGTAAGGCTCAGTTTCGCGTTTGAAATTGAGAGAATTTGAATTCACCGATTTCCAACATTATAACGCATACTCGACGCACTTCATTCGGTTCGTGCAAATCGTATACGTTTCTTCCACGATTCGAAGCTGGCCTTTCTCACATACTTCACCGTCGACCCGGGTGATCACCAGGACAACGCTGCGGATCGTCGCTTCAGCTGGCACACGAGAATGGTAGTGTAGTTTTACTCACGAATACATTATCTATCGAATGTGGACGTCGCAGTCAGTCGTAGAAATTTTGTATGTAACCTAGCGGGGGTAGCAGCGCGCGACTCGTATCGCCATGTCTGAAAATCGTCGCAGCTGAAGCACTAAACACGAACCCGGCTTCCATTCGAGTTTTCAAATTCTCTAGCGTCAATTTTTCCTTCGCTTCTTTCTCATACACCTCTGTTTACATTGTCTTACGATAATGGCTGAGTAAGTTTTGCCGTTGCCCCGCCTCTTGTGTACGTCCGTGGTAATTTTTTCACAACTGTATTGTGTATCTCTCTCGCATACATAAGAAAGTTGTCATTATTGTTATACGTGTGAATCCGACCACGTATATGATATCTTTTTCTCGGAAGTATCTCGACATACAAGACCTCGCGTGTTTCGTTGTCAACACTTGTCAACGTTCGTTCTTGAAAAGAGCCGAGGAGGTTAGTAACAACGTTTCGACGGGCCGTGTCTGGGCTGGACGATTGATTCGCGATTGAACGGCGATATCACACCTGAATAGTGTGGCGTGCACACACGACCCTCGCAGGAGCCACCACTCCGCGGGTGGTGTGCGTCGTGCGCGATATTACGGCAAGACTGTGTAAGGTCTTGCACAGACCCGTACGTCCGCGTACTCGCAGGATCGGATATACCTCGCGCGGGCGCCGATTAATAATGCACGCTTTAAGTGCACCGTGTCTCGCTCTAACGTGCGGCCCGCCGTTCTGTTGATTTAAAAATGCAAGTAGCGAAACAACACAGCGAGAACCGTCCCCGACCGCACGCCGCCGCCGCCACCACCGTGCATACTCCGCGATCTCTCCGAGGAGATCCTGTCTACGTTTTCGCGAGACGGTGATCGAAGAGTCAGGTTCTCGGAACTCTCCCGAGGAACCGGGGAGAAAAACGACGCTTCGATCGAAGAGAGGTGCACGGAGACTCGGGGAGTCTCTTCTCGGGGAAAAGTGCACCACCAGGTCGCGCGTGTCAAGCTTCCCTTGGGCGAGAACTAACGTAATTCTCATCGAGATATTCGGATGCTGATGTCGTATACCTCGAGATGCGAGGACGCGGCTCTTCGATTTCCTCGTGCGTGGAACGACACGGAATAGAATGCTCGCTTCTCTGCGCTATTTATAGCGCGAGATGTTCGACTTATCGAAATTCTATAGCAATTCTCGCTAATGCCACTAATTGAGTAAGTTTTGCACTCGCGATCAATACGCGCGGCAACGTGAGAAGGAAGTACACTTATTAGATTTGTTACTCATGTATGTGTGCGTGCACATACGTGCTCTCCAAGTATCTTCATTTCAGATTGAAGAATGAAGCTGGTGAACTCCATCGTCACAGAAACATACTCGCTCTAATCCATTGAAATATTCGCTCATGTAAAGTCCGAATCCACTCTGAGCTTGAGTGAGACATTCACTCGTGCGATTTCGAGTGGCAATAATTTTGCTATTGCCTCAAATGAAAATATTGTCACTTTTTACTCGTTTTGTATGAGACTACATTGCAAGAAATTTAGAGAGTGTGTTAGGAAAATTAAATTCGTCAATAAGTTATTCAGCAATTGGCGAAGAGCAATCGGAGAATTCGTGACCTAAATTTTTGTGGACGAGAAGAATCTCCGAGTTATTTCGTTGCGATATCAAGCGCAAGGGATTTCTGGTCGCCTCCTATTTCAACTAGTTGCTACTTATTAATTAGTGTACTAGCCAAGTTCTTATCATTATTGATCGATGTGTATTTAGTTCTATAAATTTTTAAATTTCTCTTTCTCTTTCTTTTTCTCCCTCTCTCTTTCTCTCTGTGCCACGTTCGCTTGACAAATGAATAAAATAGCGGCGCCACGTATAAGCTCAATGGTATCGAATAATCAATACTAATTAATTCAACGCGCACGGTGCGGTATGGAGGGTTTCATTCTGTAATTTTGTGCGAGAAAATACGTGAAAATATGTTTCTTTCTCAGGGTTTATAAAATAACAGTGTAAAAATTATTTATTGTTACATTCGAATTTTTAACGCAATCCATCTGCGCGAGCAAGCCTTGTGTTGCAGTCTTGTCTTGGGGGATTAAGGAATAAAATTTCGCGGTTTACTCACTCGAAAACTATCGGTGTGCTACGATATTTCTCTCCGAGGAAGAATAAAGTCAGCGTCAGGACGAGTAAAAATCCGACGCCTGTTATCGGACACCTTCAGATGCGGGTATTTTCGGATGACCCACTTCGTTCTATCCGATGGCGATAATTATCGACGATACTAGGAATAGTAACTGCAGTGGTACGGCGATATTCGCCATTCTTTTCCGCATGGAATCCAGGATCCTCGATACCAAATATAATCGACTGTTGATAGCTTTAATCGGGACAATAGCATCACTTAAATCAATCAGAAACAATCTTGTTATGAAGATATCGACGAGTGTATCATGTTAGATAGAGCTATCAAATCAAACGTTAATTTGTCACAGAATTGATTGTCTTAATCGAGTCCACGAGTCATTAACTCATCGCGTGATACGATTAGAACGCTATTTTTTTGCACGCGTGTGAAATTAATACATTATCAAAACTGTTAATCGCTTTACGTTTGGCCTGCACAAATCAAGAAATTAAGCATTGATAACGTCTTTGATTATTTTGGATATTTTAAAGATTCGTGCCAAGTTAAAAATTTCGAATCTTGTGTCTCTTCTTGCGATATCTTAGAATCTAAATCTTCGGCAAAGACTGCCGATGAAAGGAAGTCCCTAGATGGGTCGATTTATGCGCATTAATGTCACGATTAATTACAAACTTTCTTCGCGAGGAGCGAGCGGAACGTGCACACCTCCAGTCGGGAATTTAAAGAGCGGTTCATCAATTTTTCCGTCTCTTTGCCGCGCTCATTGTCGCCTTGATTAATTTTTCCTGGAGCCGTGTCCGCGGTGGGAATCGAAGTCAAAACTGGGTCAACCTTTTATTGCATCGTCTCAGGGCCGCAGTTAGCGGCGGCGTACGTCAAAAGGAGAGGCGAATAATGCCGGGTTACGTTGTTAGCCCGGCGCAAGGACTCTCCGAACTTGGACTACTTTCGACTCTAACACCGTGCCGCTTTTCATTCGGATACATAATAGATGTTTCTATTTCAGCGTAAAGAGGGAACCCAAGGAGGAGCCCAGCAGCCCTCTGGAGGCCACCAGCCCCGGCTCCATCCTACGCAACAACGGTGAGTTCGCTTAAAAAGTAATTGTATGCACGACAATTATGCGAGATGCTCGACGCAACACTGAGCCAACGTTCAAGTTACGATCCAAGAGTTGAGTCAGCCCGACAACGAAGTTCCTCCAATTAAAATCGATGCCGAAAGATTTAGACCTCTCGCTTTTCTTAATAAATGACCGACAAATTATGCGGCGCATGAGCTCATGTCTTGTCAATTAATTATTTTCGTTCCTCAAGGATAAGAATTTCATGGATTTCATTTAAAAACGAGATTAAACCTCACGAGAATTTTCCTGACTTAATTATGTCAATATTTCGGAGTGTCAGAAGTTACATAAATCTTGAATTCTGTTTTTCGCGCCGAGAGCAAACTCGCAGAGTCGAGCCATTGTCGCGTCGAGCACTTCGCACGTTCCAGAAGAGTCGATGAGTAACATTGGCGAAGAGTTCGCAATTTTAACCGCGCGGTTCAGCAAGAGCGCGCATTACTGGGAAACGCACAGTTTCTTTCAGTAAAAACCGGTCCGTTTATTTCGAGCCGTGGATTAAGAGTCGCGATAATTTATTACGAGTGAAATCCTGCGCGTACACAGCGCGGAATTTAGCCAAGAGATCTTGTGGAAACTCAATTTAAAGTAAATTCTTCCCCCCCTCTCTCTCTTTCTTTCTCTCTCTCTGGCAGGCCAAATCTATACTTTCATTCTTACTCGACGTTTTGAATATACTTATATCGGAGAATCATTAATCGTCAAGTTGATAAGTCGAGAAAGATTCTAATTACGAGGAGATTCTAATTATGGGAAGACTTCACACCTAAGACATGAACCGCGTGAAGCGATGGCAGAAGAGGAGGTATATAAATAGACGAACATTTTGTTCATTTTCACTTCGCTCGTTGTCTCGTTTATTATTGCGTGATACAATTACGATCGATCTCATTCCGATAGAAACATCCCCCTCGAGGATTCCTGATGGAAAAATCGGAAATGTTTCGAGCAGACTGATGAGTGACCTCTCTGGACTTTCATTAACGTCGGTGAGCGTCCATGTCGCGGCGCCCTATCATATTTTCATTGTGGAAAGAGCTCGGCTCTAAATTATCTCAAGGATCCGTCTTTTTGCAAGGTTCTCGGTTGACCCTGGGACAGTCCGTGCACAACGTGTGCGAGCCTCTTCGCGCAGCGATAACGAGAGCGATCGAGAAAGGTAACGAGAGGATGACGAGAGGGCTGCAGGACGGGGTGTGGGAGGGAGAGAGGAAGGGAGAGAGAGAGAGAGAGAGAGAGAGAGAGAGAGAATGAGCACCGCTGTTCAGCATGGTGGGATGAGGTTCCAGCTGTAGCTGGCGTTGGATCGATTCAAAAGCGGCTGCGAAGCGCCCCACCCTATTATGTGTTTTCTTCAAACCCCTACCCTTCGTTCCATCCCCCTGCTGCTTCTCGCGCAAATCCAACCCGTTACCCCTGCCTGCTACCAACCCCTTTCCCGCGCGTACCACGCTGCGCACTCTTTCCCTCCCCCACCCACCCACTCACCCTCCTTCCTTCCTTCCTTCTCTTCTTCCCTCCTGCTGGCCGACATCGTCGGTTCCATCGTGCCGGAACGGTTTACTGCGAATCGGAAGATCTCGGCGACCGGAAGTCCCCTTCAGTGTTCTTCGCTTTAATCGAAGGTGCCTTTTTTCTCCCCTCTCTTACTTCTGGGGTCCGTATTTTCTCATCCCTCGAGCGCTCGTCGAGGTCCCGCGCGAAACGAAGCGCGCCTCGAAACCCCAAGATTAGCTTTTCGGTGGACGACGACGACGACGACGACACGTTGACCGTCGGACGGTGTCCGATGGGTAATTGGCTGCCGGCTGGAGGATTTCTCGAGACTCGAGAAATTCTCCAGTTGATAGCCAATTAGCCGTCGGATACGGTTCTTCGTTGTACGTCGTTCATGAGGACGGAGGGTCGCGATGTGTCGTGGCCTTCGCCAAGTGAGTCCTTAGTATATTTGCTTATGTATATGCTCGCTCATTTATTTATCACGCTAAAAATAAATTCGTGATTAGTCTGCGTGGCTCTGGTCCAATTGTGCGTGCGTGTGTGTGCTGGATCCATTGATCCGAGTCGCTCCACAATGAGAATGGCAGAGAGAGCTGAGGACGCACTTACGTTATAAGAATATCTCTTTATGTAGGTCGCAGAGATAGCGATATATTATTATCACATTGCATAAGAGCCGGCTCTCTATAATTATGAGTATAAACTTATAACAGTGTATTCGCTGAATGAGGAGGCGTCATGTCGCCGTACCATGATTAAACTTCCACATAAGCGTATTCCTTATTTCTTCATTAAGAGATCGATAATGAGTCAACTTCACGAGTCGCTCTTACTCATTTTGCAGCCAATCAGTTTGGCATTCGCGACATTTACTTGCACGGAAAACGTAATTCCAACTAATGTGACTGAATTTTCTATTGAATAAGGCGCCAGGTGAAAAATTCGGTTGTACTGAGAGAAAATATACCTGAAAAATGAAAAACATTTATTAGGTGTGTGAATGCTAATAACATATTTATTTAAATCGAAATTCTTTTGTTGGAATAGAACAAACAATTGCTTTCATGAAAAGCAACGGCGCAAAAAAAAAATATATATTTTCTCATTTGAAAGGGATTGTTTGTTAATGTAAAAACATATGTATTAATAAAAGTATGTTATTAGTATTCACCGAATAAATTGCTTATTTTTTAAATATTTCTCCCTCAGTGTAGGAAAAATCGCTATAGATTTCCACTCAGACAATTGTTCTCAGTTATTGCAACCAAGTTTTAATACAGCTGGAGTTCAGACAAGTTTTTTTCAGGGCGTCACGGTGATAGAGATAGCATTTCGCGTCGCCAAATTTTTACCATCTGGCTCCTGTTCAGTTTTCACGAACTGAGATTCCTTCCCCGTGTGAGTACTTCTCGCGATTACGCAATTAATTAGGCACACTTCATCACGAATTTCGTTAACGCGGTCTGCCCGCGTCTCGATTACGTCTCGCACTGATCCAATACAGATTATGTCATCATAACTTTCACCTTCGATAGAGATCAAACAGACGTGAAAGAATGGTGTACCGCGAGGATCGGGCGAGTGAGAAAGCAGCCGCGGCTAATATTCGTTAATCCATCGGATCGACATTTTATTGTAACGACGTTTGACATTGGGGATTCTTCGCTTTCGTTTCATTAATTGTCGAACGAATTGCTTCGCCAGGGGGGATCGCAGGCCAAGATACCGAAATTAATTATTACTCGGGGAGATCAGAGAGAAAGAAGGGAAGAAGGAGGGGGAAAGAGGTGGCAAGGCAAGAGAGAAAGACAGAGAAAGGAGGAGGGGGGGGGAAAGAGAGAGAGAGAGAGAGAGAGAGAGAGAGCGAGCTCGCGCGCGGGCGCGAAAGTAGTTTATATCGGCGAGAATAAACCGCGCGGCACAGCGCGAAAGCTCGATGAGGGGAAATGCAGCGACTCTCGCATAATGTAACACAAGTACAGAGAGCGAATCGATCTGTACGTACGCTCGCGCTCGCGCGAATGTAACCGGTTTCCCAGGTTCATTACACCGCGTTCAGAGTCCGCGCATCTCCTTTCCCGACAAGTGTGCGCCGTGTGCGACCACACCAACGACGGTAGTCCTGGCGAAGTTACTTACACCGCGCCGGACTTCATCCCTTTCTCGTAAAACGCCCGTTCGCCTTGCCTCGCGCTGTCGAGGTCCGCCGATCAGGAAATGCGCCGCGCTCGTGGAAATAAGTCATCGAACCGCTGGTCCGCGATCGCGGGACCGCGACGATACTCCGCCGTAGCCGCTTGCCATGTTGGGAGGCGCGGGTTTAACGTCTGTCTTAGACGGCAATCAATTTTTTCCCCGTGCATCGACCCCGCGCCCGTGCTGTCGGAGGTGCTCGCGCACGATCGAGCCTGAGCTGGCGTGAGTTGTGCCTCTCTTCCGAAAGTTTCACAGACTCTCGTGCATAAATTGGGAATTATTCTCGGCTTGTGCAAGCTCGCTCGCTATCGCGATAGCACATCATCGATAGTTGAATCGGTACAGCCACGGTGTCCTGGGTCTTATCGGGGCTTCCATCAAAGAACTTCTCGAAGACCCTCGGATATAATCTTCCCGGAAGATACCTCTCGAAGGTAATTCTCCTCTTCGCTCGCCCGAGCAACTTTGACTCGGGCGAGCGACGGAGCGCGCTTCGGCGTTCCGGCTCCGTCGTTCATGACTCCGCTGCTTCATTTCCTCCACGATGCTGCGCATCCCTAATTCGCCTTTGGCCGCCCTTGACACCCCCTTGAGCCTCCGATATCCGTCGCTCGGCGTCTCTCTGGTGCGGCGCGCTGGCCCGAGACCGGGCGGATAAAGTGCCGGTGCGAATTCTGTTCTAGTAGCGGGCCGCGCGCGCGGAAAAAGAAAGAGAGAGGGAAAGAAGAGAGAGCCCGTTCGCTCGTACATGCATACGTACACACATACGTACATACGTACGTACGTACGTACGTATGTACGTACGCTCGTTCGTTCGTTCGTTCGGCTCTCCCGGCACTTCTCGGTCAATGAACCGCGTGTTGCTGGCGAACCCAGTTGGTCCACTCGCGCCGCGCGAACCCCACCACGTCGTCCCGCGATTTAACCCCCCACTGCAGTCGGAGACCACGTCAGGTCGGTCCACGTTTTATCCCTACCGGACGATCCTCCACGACACGGCTCACCTCCGGCTTCCCCCGATCTTGCCGCTCTCCCCTTCGCACCCCGCCGTTGCTGCAACCCCTTCCATCTCCAGAACTCACCTCCGACCCGCTCGCTTAATTCTTCCCGTCCCCCCGCCCCCCATCATCTCATCCACCCTCCTCGCGTTTCCTCTGGCCCCCCGTCTCTCCCATCGCCACCTCCAGCCACCACTCTCTCTCTCTTTCTCTCGCTCGCTTACTCTCTCTCTCCCCCTCTCTCTTCCTCTTTCGTTGTCCCTCCTCACCCTTCCCCATCCCTTCCCCATCGCGAATCGCGCAATGTCGTAACACGTACGACGGAACGCCGGTTTTACTTACCTCACAGGTGAGCGCTCTCGGGTAAGCGGCTGCACCAGAGGACGAAGGAGCCGTCCTGAGGGAGGAAGGGAGGAGGGAGGAGAGAAAGACAGTCGGACAGAGACGCGCGGTGCGCGGTGCGCGCGAGCGAGACGGCGACAAAGAAAAGGAGAGAGTGAGAGGGGGCAGAGAAAGAAAGAGCGAACGCAGGGAAGGGAGATGAAACGGGAAAGAGAGAAGTCCGGCTGATCGAGGAAGACGGAGCACGGGAAACATGCGGCGAGGCGGCCCATTCCCGGCACTCGCGCGAGAACGAGCGGGTCGGCACGCCGTACGCTCGCGGATCGCGCGCACGCACGTGATCGCACGTTCTCGCGAAAAATTATTCCGTCCTCCGAGCGCTTTTCGTGTTAACTCGCCTTAACTTCTCCTAAAGTCTCGGCACGACGGCTGTCGTGTGTGTTCCGCCTTTATCATCATTATCATCATCATCATCATTATTATCATCATCATCATCATCTTCCTCTTCTTCTCTTTCTCTGTCTTTCTTTGCGTACAAAAGACGGCGTTATTATCCGTTCCCGTTGCGTCGCGTCGTCACGTGGACCGTCCCTTCGGTCGCCTGGGGCGACGGTCTCGTCGGGATAAGTGAGTGATTTTCGGTGTACCCCGACGAGACGGAATACTGTCGTTGCACGCTGCCCGCCGAATGTACACTCCGATCGTGAACGACCCGCGTCTTCGCACGCGATTGTGACCGTGTGCCGCGATCGCCCCTCGACAGATCGATCGATCAGGTGTTGTCGCGTGGTCGGGATCTTGCCGTGGGTGTCTATGAGAGAGCTCGCTGGGAATCGGTCAGCGTTGTCGACAGTCGCTCGCGTTGCTGGATTACATCCGATCGGGACGGGACTGTTTGTCAGTGGTGAATCTCAGCTGTCAGGGAGAGAATCCGGACGCTGGCGAGTGTTCTCGGGCGCTGCTCGTGCAGGTAAATTCATCGGGTGTGTAGCGCGTTGTCAACGCGCGGTGTGAATCGCACGGCGAGCGCGGTGAGATAATTGCGGTGAGGAAGTTGCAAAAGTTCATTGCGCTTTCATTCGTGCCTCATTGTCCCGCGGAGCGCGCGAGCGAATCCGCGTTGTTCCGAGGTGTCGGTTGTTGCCACCGACGCGAGTAATTATGAAACTGTCATTATTCCGCGCGACGTTCAATTTGCCAAGCGCACGTCGGTGCGTGACCGCTGATAATCTCCAGGTCTTCGACATCATCGTAGCGCCCGCGAAAGACCCGCGAAAGTGTCGCTCCTGAGCCGTTAATGAATTACTTTAAGACTGTTCACGGAGCAGATGGCCGTGAAATGCAAGTTGGACGGAAGCGTCTCGAGGAGCGCGAATTTTCGTTCCTCGCTGAGGAACGAGTTTTTCGCGGGTCAACCGCGAACACGTGGCCCGGAGAAATCCTCTTTGGCGTGCGAGTGAGCGAGCGAGCGAGCTCGAGAGATCTCCGTGCGAGCGTGAGGTGAACGCACTGACTTGCGACGCGGATGGAACGCGGAACCAAGCGCGGCCGATGCGCGAGACAAATGATCGTCTGCGAGACCGCGAAACCGCTGCGTCGCGTCGCGCAATGCGAAATTCGCGGCCGATTCAGCGACAAATGAAAATGCCTGCGGCCACGCCGATTTCCCACGAGGAATTCGCGCCCTCGATCGGAAATCGGCGACAATTCGGGGATCTCTCCGAAGTATATCTCACAGACGAGACAATAACAGTAATAATCATGACGATCGCAAATCAAATTCGACGACACGAGTCTTTTCTCGATCCGCGCCGTTTAAACGGTTCGATCGATCGATCGATCGATCGTTTAGTTCTGCATATCGCATATCTAGCCGGCGAGCGCGAATTGTCGCGAAACACTTGAAATTCGCAAGACGGAAAAACATAACCCGCCGCGAGCGGGGAGGGATGGATGTCACGAGGGGAAAGAAAAGAGGAGCGGGTGAGGGTAAAGAGGAGAGGAGAGGAGACTCGGAGAGCGAGACGCGCAGGTGAGAGAGCGAGTGAGCGAGAAAGAGAGAGGACAAAGAGAACGACGAGGAAGAGGGGTGAATGTTGTGGAGGGGCAGGGGGAAAACGAGGAGGAGGAGGAGGAGGAGGAGGAGGAGATTGTGACCAAGAGGAAGGAGGGACGAGCCAGGAAGAAGTCAACGTCCGAAGATTACGGCAATGACATTCACTTTTTCTCACTCTCCGCCTCGTGTTTCTCTCGTGCTCTCCGGCTTTTTTTCTCTCTCTCTCTCTCTTTCTCTCCTCTCCTGCCCTCCCCTTGTTTCTCTCGCGATTCGCCGGCGATTCCTCGTCCTCCTTCTCCCCGGCCGTGTGAAAATGTCGAGGTACACACAGGGTGGAGCGGTTGGGAAGTTTGCCCATAATGCTTCATGATAACACCGTTACAAAGATACATTCGACGAGGCGAAGCGGCGAACGTAATCGCGCTATACGTAATCCATTCAAGATTGATCGAAAGGTTTCACGTTGGTACGAAAAAAGCCAACCTGGTGGACTCGTCGTGGACGGGCTCTCCACGACGATCATCACGCGTGTCTTTATTATTTGCTCGCCATTGCGTTTTTTTCCGCCGATCGGTTTTTTTTGCCCTTGGTTTCTGATTTTCTTTTCGTTTTGATTTCTCTTTCAGCGATGGGTCACGCAAAAAGCCGGCGGGCATGTGAACCACTGAAAATCGGCGGACAGGTCCGCGCTCGCGCCGCCAGGAAAAAGTTCGTCCCGTAAGAGAAGGGCAGAGGGAAGAGGGGAACGAAACGAAGGGCGCACACGGCTGAGAAAAAGGGTGAATGCGAGAGGGTACCGTGCGCGAGAGCGACAAGGTCGCGAGGGGCGAGGAGCCCGTCGTTGAGCCGCTCAGTTGGCGATCGCGATCTCCAAAATAATGGGTTGAACTTTCGGACGACGTGCTCCACACGTACTCGCAGGAAGAAGCTCGAACGATCGGCGAGACGATGAGCCGTTTCGACGCTCGCGCAAGGCTCGCGCCTTCTCAACAAACGGTAACAGTCGAATCTGCCTGGGAACGTCGCCCTGAAATCGCATAACAAACAGAAGGAACGACCGCAGCCCGTGCTCGCGAATCTAAGGTGGTTCAAGTGGCCAAGTGCGAATGGCTCGACGACACAGTGATAACGGATACAACATCTCTCGAGCACCTCTTGGCAGCGCAACGGTGCTCTCGACGACTGTTTGAAAATAATCGTCCCACGTCCGTTTCGCGCGTTTCTCATCGAATGAGTCGCGCACACGTTCCTCCTCTCTCCATTGGTTCGTGCGATCGATTCGATTCGACTCGCGTCTCGAGTGGCCGAGCCGAGTGTGCATCGTCGATTTTCACCGCTCAAGTCGTCCGTGGAGAGAGACAGAGATAGAAGGAGAGAGAGTGAAAGAGAGCGAGGGAGAGAGAGAGAGAGAGAGAGAGAGAGAGAGAGAGAGATCCTGTCCTGTATTATTTATAATGCGCGGGGAAATCTCACAAACGCGCGTTCACACGTAATGAACGTCTTTGACTCGCAAGTTTATCCGCGCCTCCGTCACGTCTCTCGTTGCCATTACTCGCAGACGAATTAAATCTTATTAAGTCGCGGTGTAAATGCAAATGCGAGCTGCTAAACGCGATACCCGCGACTGACTGAAACGAGGAAACGTTGCTCGCGGTTCAAAGACCCCGCGCGCGCAGCCACGAGGAGAACGAGAAGTAACGAGGACAGCGACGAGCACGAGGACGACGGATGTAGCCTCGAGCGAGCAGGAAGAAACGTCCGCGGCAGCCTGCCCGAAATCTATCATGACTAGGTCGAAGGCACCTTAGAATTTTGCCCAGGGTGCAAATACACAGATCGCTGCATCGGCAGGAAAGAAGAAGAACACGTCGCTCCTCGGTGCTCGAGGTACTCGATGACGAAGTGTCGGATAAGCGCCGTCGAGCAACGAGATCGCCGTTTCGCGAGGCGCGAGGTGCGCGACAGAACGGTCGTTTCGCTAATGACATTCGACGTCTCTGCCGATCGCCATAAAACACGGTCTCGTCGTCAGCGTCATCGACGTGCGCGAAGTGACAACGGAGGAACGTTACCGTTACCGCGGTGGATCGCGCTCGCCAGTGCGCCTCGTCACCAGGGAACATACGAAGGATCTTATTCATCCGTCCATGAGTAACATCGCGCGGACCGCTCGCGCAGCTCAGTCTCCCATACGAGAGAGGAAGAAAGAAAGAGGAAGCACGAACACGACAGCCGCCGATAAATGACATTGTCGTTGAAGAGCCGGCACGCGCGCGCAAAGATCCCGAGGATCTCGGCGAATTCGCAGGGTGACAACGCTCCCTTTGCCTGCCTTTTCTCGCACTCTCTCTCGCGAAAGGAGTCGCATGAGAGTGAAAAGAGCGAGCGCCGCGGTTGACATCGCGCTGACTCGCGGGACAACGGAGCGGGTCAAAGCAGCGCACAGCTGAAGGATCGACGCGAATGCTGACCGCGAACGGGACCACCAGCGCGACGTGCCGCACGCCGTTCGCCGGCACCGTGATCCGTTCGTTACGCTCGCCCGTAAAATGGACGTTTTCAAAATCGATCAGTCGCTGAGCGCGGGTTTGGGCAGCGCCCCGGCGCCGGACACCCTCACGCCGGAAGTGTCGTTCGACGCCGGCAGTGAGTTCAACCTGAGCTTCTTCGACGGCCCAGAGGAGAACAGTACCCAGGGCTTCAGCGACCCTGGTTCCGTGGGGAGCGCCAGCGCGTCGCCACCCCCCGGCACCCCCGGCGGCATCCCCGTTAATACCCCGAGCGCGCCACTGCCGATTGTCCAAGTGCCCTCCGCCGGCATCGTCATTAAGCAAGGTTTGTTTCATTTCTTTGTTTATCCGTTTCCGCGTTCCCGTGCTTGCGCGCGATCCAAATCTGATTCTTCTTCTCGCTTTGGCCTCTTGAATCAGCGAGACCAGCGTTGGGCATTAATTGAGAGAGAGGAGAGAGAGAAGAGAGAGATTAAGATTTTATTTAACTAAAATAATCAGTAATCAAAATGAATTAATCATCATACGTGTCGTCGCAAATAATTTAATCGATTGATGAAACTGATGATTAATCAATGTATAATCAATGTAATTAAAGTTTGATCAATAATCAATTTCATCAATTGATTAAGTTGTTCGTGACTTTATTCATAACGATGGAGTAATTCTGATTATTGATTTCTCGATTATTTTAGTCAACCAACACTTTGATCAATTGATGCCCAAACTTTGCTTGAAAAGGGCGCCATGAAATTGCATCGCAAAGGTGCGAAAGCATCGATATAGACTTCTATGCATAATTAAGCGGGTCCAGTGTTTAATAATTTTCCCTATAATAAATAAATAAATAACAGCGTGGTTTGAAGCAAAATATGACCATCGAGTCGAAGATAATAATCAGGGCCGGCTGCAAGTTATTTACTGCCCGTATTTAAACAAGGAATTTACTTGATTTAACCAAATGTGTCTTTCACTGTAATACAACAATTCTATAACATTTTCGTTTTATATTTATAAGTCTATTGTTTATTTTTCTTAGGAGGTAGATAATGAGAGTTGTTATGTATTTTTTTTATTTATTAGTTTTTATATAATATTATTGTTGTTAAAACGTAAAGCTACAAATATTGGGTTATGGTTTGGTTTCAAATAAAAATTATACATATTTTAGTAATTATATTTTAATTGTTTTATTATTAATGGTAAGAGTAATCTTAAAATTTTTCGTAGAATTTTTAGAAATTTAAATTTCAAATGCTTGCGCGATTGTTCTTGTTTTAACCAATCACGCAACATCCTATTCAAGTCTTGTAGGTTTAGGAATCTCGCACCCTCTAGCGCGGGGTCGCGTGCGATGCACCTTTCGCACGCCTCTAACGCCGGCCCTGATAATAATAAATGCTTTGTTTACAGGATCATTCTTCAGCACACAATAGAGTAATAACACAGATAGTTAATAAATAACAAAAACACAAAAATAATTATAGTCGCAATTTTTTGGCACAATTTTTTGGTACGCCTAAAAACAGATGATGATGTGTGAAAACAATCTGAAAAGTCAGAGGACGAATTTGCCATTACACAAAGCTCATTCATATGTTGGAGTAGAGTTTACGATGTGGATTCACGCAAAAAAAGCTGGGGGGTCATCTTAGAGTTCTAGATAGTACATTGAGCCTTATTAATTCAAATAATTTAGAACATTTAGTCTTATCACTTACAAGTAATTCAGAGCATACAACATAGTTATTATAGAAATGGTAAACAGTAAATTAAGAATAGTCTCTTTAGAAGTCTCTTTTGCTTTAACGTTAAAATTGTATGAAAGTTTCGAAGTTATCCGGTCGAAATCTGTCTTTCTTTGATCAACTTGATTGACGAGCGGATATGAGGGAGGGAGGGGCGTGTTGTAATTAAAAGAATCCGCGACACTGATCCAAAGTTTCAGAATTTCGACAGGATGGTGTCTCGAAATTTCAAAGAGAGTTACCGAGTTATCGGTTGTGTATGGAGAAGGGATCTCTACGCACACACAGACACACACACACATATACATCAACTTGCCGTTAATTAGTTTCCCGCGAGAGCACCGTGAAATAACCTGAACGTCCCTTAACGTAACGTAACTCCGATGCCTCGCCGTTTTATACCGAAGCGTCTATTTATAGCTCGGTAGAGTGTTATACGCGCGTGTGTGTCTATCTCTTTTAACGTTATTTTACATCCCGAGCACAGACGCACGTGTACGTAGTGCCTATCTCGTAAAGGTTAGAATACAAATTGAAAAGGTCGCGCCCATAATGCGGTATTCACAAATCGTCGGATCGCGCGTATCATATCGTCGTGCCTGCCTGCGATTCCAGTCGTCTACCTCTCGTCGATGACAAACAGAGGAGCATCAGAAATGCGCTCCGACTACGCTAACGAACGTCGCGTGTAGGAGGAAACACGTGCGCGAGGATCGAGTGTGCTCGATTATCCCGAGTCGAAATTGTAGCCCCTTCTTCAGCCTGAATTTTCTAACATCTGTTCTGAAGGATCAATGTGTGTTTAATGAAAACTGCAGTCCTACACGGAAAAAAAGGTTTGGCTGAATCAACCAAATATCTGGTCGAATATGAACGATCCAGAAATTCCGATTGAAGTAACTCGGATTTTGTTTAAGTTAACAAGATTTTTGGTTGGTTTAAACAGAATTCGGGTTACTTCAATCGGAATTTTTGGATCGTTCATATTCGACCAGGTATTTGATTAATTCAACCAAACCTTTTTTTCGTGTACTTAGCGCCTCTAAATGGCGGAGAACGCAGTCTCTTAAAGTGAATCAGTGAATAGTCACTGATATCAGTTGTAAGTATACACTGAGAGAAAAAAATAATTGGAATAACTATAATTTCACTATATTTTATAGTTTATTTTGGCCTCAAACATATATTTATAGTTTATCTAAACATGAAGATATAGCAGAATAAACACAGATTTATAGTCACCATTTTATTACTCTATGTGTATAGTAAAGCACACTTTGGGAATATAGTTACATATACCTATATTTGCCAAATATTCCAATTGTATTGACTATATAAAATAGTTAATTTCTCTTACCATTCAATATTTGCCACCTTACTATATTTTTTATTTCAAATAATTATAATTCTTGGTAAAAATTTTACACGGGTCAGTTATATTATACTTATATTGTAAATATTACAAATATTATGGTAACATTTACTATAAAAATTATATTCCTAATTATAATATTTTTACTATGCCATTATAGTTCCAAATATCATACATTTTTCTCTCAGTGCACTTGTGGGTTCTAAAGTAGATCTCTCGGCAATGCTAGCAGATAAAATAGTACCAGAAGAGATTTAATATAGACTTCAGGGCGTTGAAGCGTTAAATGCAATATTGAGGTCGAAAGTAGGATCAAAATTTCGACTCTGGGAGATCGACTGGAGAATCGGCTTCTCGTTGCTTGTGAGGCGCGCCTTACTCACTCGTGACGCCATCCGCTCGTGAGAAGAGTCAGGCACTGACATTTCACTCCGGACCGAAAGCGTGCGAGCGAAATCGTTCTCGTCCCCGTGTCCGTCGTTCTCGGGTCCTTTCTCCGTGCTCCATGTTCGTCCAGTTCTCCTGCGAGAGCGATCTTTCGACCCGCGCGATTTCGGCGCGGAATCTCGACACACTCGCGTTCGACGTGACCATGAGGTAAGGTAAAAATACCAATGCCTGGACACTAAGAACTCTGGTATCTAACTCTGAATATTTTTATCGTTTTACTTCTTGAGTATGAATATTTAAGCCTTCAGCGTAGAATATATACAGGCTGCCTGACGATTATCGACGCACCCATTGTATGCAGGCAGAATTCATCGAACTGAACACAGAGTTTTATCGAGGTATTTGCGCACCAATCTTCTTCAGTGAATAACCAAAAATTTATGTGGTCATTTGCAAAATGGTAGAGGATTTTTCTATTCTGTTTGATTTAAAATACAAACACATTGTGGCAGATGACGCCATCACAGTCGTATCATGTGTGATCACTCGTCAATCTTTTTTGATTGATAGCTCAAAATTTTACACGATTCGGCATGCGAAATGGCAGAGGGATTTTGTGTTCAGCTTTCGATAAGCTTTATCTGCACACAACGGGTGTGTCAATAATTTTACGTTGAAAGCTTAAATTTTCGTGCTTAAAAAGCAACGCGACAAGAATGTTAGCAAGAGTTAGATAACGGAGTTGTCGATGTCCAGGAATTGGTGCTTTTAACCAGAAATGTTCTCTAGTCAAAACGCTCCCATCTTGACAAGCCGCGGGCCGATCTGCCTGTCGTAAATTCGAAATTTTTGTCCCGCTCGCTTTTGCGAATTTGTCCGCGTGGGCCGAGGCGGAGAACGACCCACGGAGATATTTATAGATTTTTGAGAAGGCGATTGCGCAGGGTGTGTGTATGCGACCCCGATAAGGGACGGAGAGCACTTTGTAGCTGTGGATCGTAGCTTACATTATACATACGCCGGGCCAAGGATCGCTCGACGACGATCTGATGGCAATCACCGAAAATCCAACTTTGAATTTCAATCTCGAGGCGGTCAAGGTCCATCGAGAGTAATTCTATTCAGAAGCGCGAACCCCTCGGTGATAAGAGGCTAACGCATACGCCGACTATTGTCGCTCGCAGACCGATTCTCTCTCTCGGCGGGGAGAAACGGGCGGCCCGTTGTACGTGGCGCAGAATGGTAGATATTTTTGGGCGTTTCGCGTGGAATCTCGCGAGATGAATTAATTTCGGCGCCGCCGACTCTTGCTTGCGATCCCCGACTGCGATGCGTTGTGCAGGAGTTCCTTGCAAATTAAATTTCGCGGACGCGCGCGGCAAACGTAAACTCGATTCGCGTGTCATTCCGCGTGAATTTCTCTTTGACGTGACCGCGCTCGAATTTTTGCACGCGGTGTAAGCGTCGAGGGTGCGATTTCGGCCCACGATTGGGCGCGCGTGAAACACCTGCGAGGGATTGCTCTCTCCGGCGATGTCCGAACGATCCTCATCGTGCGACGAGAGACGAAGAAGGGACGGGGCTTTCCATCGCGCTCCGGTAAAATTCGAAGCTCATTGACACTCCTCTCTTTCCCCTTTTTCTTTTTCTCCACCGCGACGTCGACGCCACGAAGAGTCAGGCTGCAAGTCACGATTTTATCGGCCGTACTAATCGTAAAAGCCAAGAATTCCGTACGGCTTTCTTACACGGAATGCAGCTTGCGCGGCTCGAGCGTTTTCCGTCGGGGAAACCGAGTATACAGGGATACTCCGA